GGTGTGTGTGTGTGTGTGTATGTGTGTGTGTGGTGTGTGTGTGTGTGTGTTTATGAAAAGTGTTGTTGATATCAAAATGAAATTGCAGATATGGTTTCATCTTTTAAAGACATTTGTGTCTACGTCATGCTTTGTGATGCGAGTAAAATATGTTACAATGACATCATACACCTTGCTCGATCCTTCACAAAGCTGAAGTATTATCTTACCTTCCGTAATGGCTATATTAATGTGGAGAGAACCCATACCACCAGAGTTCGAACTCGGACCTAAACCTGACTGACACCAGCACATCCCGCTCTCCCAGTCAGTACTTCAATACGTCAGACATGTCACTTATTTCATTCACTTAGTGTGGTTGACATGCACCTATTAAAACGCAAGATTTTAGGACAAAAATATCTTTGTCAATATTGCCTTACCCATCAGCCTCTGTTGTGATCATCACATGATTTTGTTTTGTTTTCATTTTGTTGGATTAATTGTGTATTTGCAAACCTTGTAAAATAAATGTCAATATTTATGTCTGTATCTGAGTTTTGTTTGTCTGATCTATCGTCACCGGTTCTTGTCGTAGGAGGCGACAAACGGGATCGGGTGGTCAGGCGCGCTGACTTGGTTCAGACATGTCATATAGTATTCGAGTTGCGTAAATAGATGTTCATGCTGTTGGTCACGGGATTGTCTGGTCCGAGCTCGATTATTTACAGAACACCGCCATACAGCTAGAATATTGCTGCGTGCGGAGTTAAATAACAATTCAACCATGCCATTTAAGTATGTTCGTTTTTGATTGGCTGCTACTAAAAAATTAGAAGTGAAATTTTCTTCAATAACCACTTCTGAGAGCCGGTTCAGTGCGCGTAGTGTCAAAACACTACGCAATGGTAATGGGTGCATATTTAAAACACGTTTTATTCATGATGCATATGTCATGGTAGAATGGAAATAATCCTGTTGTGTTTATGTCCTAAATAGATTTGTGAATTTGTGAACATTTTTTTTGTATATTTTCTTGCTGTAAAGAGTTTAGTTCACGATATGTGTACGATAAAAAATACTTCAGAATCCAGAATCCAGGTTACATAAAAGTATGTATGGTGAACTGGACTCTGTGTTCAGTGAATGTTTGTAATCGGTGCTCTGGAACCTGCATAAAATCACACATTAAAAAAAAAAAAATACTCTTCAAATTAAATGACACAAGTTGCTTGCTGTCATCTGGCCTATTCCAGCTTAAACATTAAACCTTGGGAGTGGGCGGAAATAAGTTAAATAACTTGTGCCAAATCCCTTTCAACATTGAATAAATTAGCATGTTGTCCTTGAAGTGGTCCACCCCATAAGACTAACACACACAATACACAAAGTATTTGAGAGTAATTACCGCATATAGCATGACCCCACCCCTCTCTTATCTCTCCACCTGTTACCATATTCACTACATGACATTGATATGGTCTACAAATATTTCTTTTATAACAAACATAGAATTAAAACACATATAATTGTATTTATGTACTGTATTCTGATTATACAGAGGCCCAGATAAGCTGCGTATCCGGGTAAAATACGCCTAGAAAATTTCCAATTACTCACTGAAAAGAAATTGTTGCGTACCAATTACGCATTTAAAATGTTAGATACGCAAAAAGTTTAAAGCAAATGCGTACGGAATATATTTATAAAAATCGCTTGCGTAATGAAAAAGACATCGATTGCTATCAAGTTGTACTGTTAGTATTAGATAAGTGATTTTTTTATGAAATCTTTTCCATCATATTTAAGTTGGTTTTGAATAGGTATAACATAAGGCAGATCATACCTGCTTAGTAAACTTACTCAATGACATAATACTTAGGTGAGTAAAATGACTGAAATATGCACATATTTGAAAGCAGTGGGTAAATGAAAATGAAATACCCACTCAACATTCATAATACACACTCCAAAAAATTACAGTGGGTACAGTACCCACATGAGGTAAATCTTATCTGGAGCTCTGCTGATAAATGATTATATTGACTATATATTTTAATTCTGGAAATGTGCAATTTTACCGAGAAAGAAGGAAAGTGTATAATATAAGGACTTCTACATGGTAATGGCGACAGAGAAAGAGAGACCTGTGTGGCAATGCCGTTTCTAACTCAAATGGACTCTCAAGAGTGTTCTGCATTGCTGGAATTTGCATTTTGGGTAAAAAAACAGACATCACGTGAGTAACTGCCGGTAACTGATTGGACGAGAGCCATGTCGTTCGTGCCTGCATGGAATACACGTCCAACCAATGTGTTCTTGGCTGATACCAACCTTCAGACGAGTAATGGTGACAGAGTGATCCCTTCTTCTTTGTGTACAGAAACGCACCCGGTACCCTAAACGGTGGACAAGTTGATATTCCGCAACCCAAACCCGAAACTGTTTTTAGTTGTTGTTCCTGTTCAACTGATTGCAAATGGTTTTGTGCATCGCGAAATTTCTTATAATACGAAATCAAATGCATATCATATAACAGCATGACAGTTCCGGTCAAGAACTCGTCCTGGGGACCGTTCCTGAATTAAAAAAATATATCAGAGATTACAAGTTTTTCATTTGTCAATTATCAAATAGAAAGGTCGTCAAAGACCATATTGCAGAAATTTATATAGGCTGCACGTATGTCGGTTATGTTTCGCACATTACATCACCAATATTTCAACCTCAGTTTCCTTATGAATCCCTTAATCTCAAACATTTTACAAAATGGACATTTATGTTTACTGATAAGTACCTCAGTACGTACGTATCTCCGTCTTAATATTTCTCATGTTACTAAGCACGTCCTTTTGTGAACGTCGCTTGCCGATGACAAATAAAAGTCATCATTGTATAAATATTTGGTCTTTTCATTGTGGTGAGGCTTATGAGTGAGTGAGTTTGGTTTTACCCTGCTTTCTGCAATATTCCAGCAATGTCACGGCGGGGGACACCATAAATTCGCTTCACACACTGTACCCATGTGGGGAATCGAACTCGGGTCTTCGACGTGTCAAGTCACCGCTTTAACCACTGGGCTACCCCACCGCCCGTTTGACGAAAATATTTATGGTCAATATTTCCTGTTGCTTACGACCAGTGATGATCTGGGTTAGAATAAGTCTCCAGCAACCCTTGCTTGTAAGAGGCGCGGTGGTCAGGCTCACTCAAAACGAAAACTTGACTATCAACTAATTCATCCCAAAGCCCACGCACCATCATGGCCTTACCAACACGTCTAAAACACCATCCAAAGACCCAAAGCTACAAAATGTTCCCAAAATCGACCACATCTTACTTAACCCTAGAGAAAAAGTTAACCCCCTAACCATCACCATAATCTCAAAGTAGCTCTAACAACACCCGCTAGTTCCATGTTAACTCTAGACCTGGACCCCGGACGGTTCCATACTACACTGTTTCTGTGTAGAAAATAAATATATCAGAATGACTGGTATTAATAATCATGCTCAAGTATTTGGTCATGCAAAGTAAGTGACTTGTTTCGGACAGATTGTGCATTTAGAAGGGAGAGGTAAAATACAGAACGACAGATTAACGTATTTGGATCTTGTGTATTGAAAGAGAAACAACTGGTTCGTCAAACTAGTTTTTCTTCTACCATGACATCTTCTCTTCAAGTGCATGAGGTCGAAATGCACAGGTATGACGTTCTATATATTCCTGTTCTCCCGTTGTTGTGGACGAGTGGTCACAATTTCATCTCCTCTGGTTTGCAGCACACGTACATGACTGCTACAAATGTATGTTTATGTATATATATAGTGCAGCAGATTTACCTGCAGTGCTTTCATGATTGTCATTATCTGATTACACCACATGGATCCGTTTACAGTGCCTGTATGTTTACAGCACGTCTGTTAAAAAGTGTCTTTGTTTATGACACGTGTTTACTGCGTCTGCAGGATTAGAACACACGTATCCGTTTACAGCGCTTGCATGTTTATGGAATTTATCTGTTTATGCGTGTTCCATGATTCATAACACAAAGATGAAGGTATAATGACCATTCTGACAGTGCTACTTTATTCTTATCAACCAACCTCACGTATAACGGGTCATCTCAGACAGTCTTTTCAAAATAGTATCACATGGTTAGACCATATAATCAGATGTGTATTGTAAAAACTTGGCGGTTTTATCCACTAGGTTACGAAGGGTCGCTGTGAAGAATGAGATTGTTTGTCAGTATGAAACGTGTGTTCCTCACAAGACGGATACTGCGGGCAACGCACGTGCAGGACACGGGTAGCACGTGCATTACGCGTGCAAGGCAAGATGTTGGCTGCCAGTTGCACCCCAGTTGACACCGGCTGTTCCATCATTTGCGGGCTGTCCCATCAATGTTGTTCTGAACGGGGCTGTTGATGTCGATCGTTATATATTATTTTAGAAGAATTTTATGCAAACACGGTTGGTAAATCGGAGAAACCACTCCTACTCAGGGTTCACTTCGGGTCCTCGGGATGTTCCCTCCTCTCAGGGTTCACAATCTCAAGTAAACCCTCGTAGTCGTGGTTTCTCCTGTACATACCACAGGGTACAGAAACAGTGTAGACTGTCCTTATATCCTTGTCCGAATCCAAGGAACACGAGTTTTAAACCCAAACTTGGACTATTGTACTTCATAGTTTAATAGCATACTACACATGGGTTTTACCACAGTTAAAAATCGTTTCCCAGTCGCCTCACTTTGGGATTTCCAGATTCTTAATCAGTATACAGCTGAAACTACAAACCTGCAATGTGGCACTAAGTTCCACCAAGTCCAGTCCTTAAAAATAGGTCTGGTATCTAGCGAACATGCTGACTGTGACATTTAAATACCTCCCAGGCAGAATTGAGGTAAATTCACTTGAACTTTTTTCTCTATGCACAGTCAACTCAAGGATAAAAGAAAAATATTTATCAACATTTGTTAGATGTTTCACAGATGGAAATAACAACAATTTTAATACTTCAAATTTCAAATCATTTTTATTTGGGTGCAGGAGAATACATCTTATTGATCAAGAATCTGTCCCTGATTTTGACAATTAAGTCATGGAATTCATGCATAAAAGACTCTATTATGATAACTTTTATGTAAAAAAGTCAACATAAAAAGGAAGAATGAACACATCATTTTTTATAGTCTTCCACCAAAAAATATACACAGAGTTCTCATCTCATTCAGATGATGATGATGATGATGATGATGGTGATGATGATCTCTCATACTGGTTGTCATATCGTATGCTGTGAATATTTTAGTCAATGCTATATTTAGAAATATTGTACATCCTGAGAGGTGAAAAAGAAGACATGAATGGGTACTTCCGATTTCAGCTCTCAAAAATTCAGTTATAACAACCAAGAAGGCAGCAATCATTTGAAACAACAAAACATTTCAACTTATGACGAGGCTCATAGAATGTTTACAGTCTGAAAGGAAACAAATGACAACACAAAAATGCAGAACTATTCCTTTTATGTATTGGTAACAGCATGTACTGGAAAATGTACGGCCAAAAGCTCCATACCACCCTTTGGACATATGATTTTCGGGACTGTTCTAACAGACTGACTGACTGAGTGAGTTTGGTTTTTAGCAATATTCCAGCAATATAACGGAGGAGGACACCAGAAATGGGCTTCACTCATTGTACCCATGTGGGGATTCGAACCCGGGTCTTTGGCGTGACGAGCCAACGCTTTAACCACTAGACTACCCCACCGCCCCTGTTCTAACAGATACATATGTACATTTAATGAGACAGTCAGAAAGGTATTATCCACTTGGAGGATAACACCATGATTATCACAGCAGATGTAGCTGTGCAGTGCTTCAGATCACTGCGTAGAGTGATGAGTGGATACAGAAAGGTATGATCCACTTGGAGGATAACACCATGATTTTCACAGCAGATGTAGCTGTGCAGTGCTTCAGTTCATACTGGGTAGACTGATGAGCGTATACAGAAAGGTATAATGGAGGATAACATCATGATTATCATAATTTGAAATCACAAAATTATCTTACAAATGTATGTACAAATATCCAGTCTGGCAGAAGAACAGAGGCATGAATAAAGAGATCATACATACAGTTATTTGCCTCATCAGTCTCGCATTACATCAATGATTGTTTCAGCAAACATTTACAAACTTCGGACTAATCCCAAATAAATAAAGAATCAAGTATGGACTTTTCCACCCACTTCACACAGAGGGTTAAATTAAATACTAACCAGAAGAAAGTTTGCCTCTGAAGAGGCGTCTGTTGAAAATCTGGAAGATCTGATAATGTGATGACAGTTAAAATTGAAATTTATGGCTGTGATGTATGATTTTCAAATGATTTGTTTGTTTGACAAATATTCACTCAGAATCCCAAAGGTGAGTAAATAAATGGTGAAAAGTACACAGATGAAATGCATTAACTGCACTGAAAGAAACATCATCGCAATGATAGTTAGCCACCAGTTCCACTTCTTGGAGAGTGGAAAGTCACCAATATAAAACTCACCAATCCCAACCACCATTATTGCTGCTATCAGTTTGTTCTGCTGGGTAATGGCAAGAGGCATTTGCATCTTTCATAAGCATGTTCTTTCATAATGATTATGAATAATGCTTCCAATCCACACAGCATCCATGATACCAAAGACACCATGTTCAATGAGAACTCCCTTGCTGATATATGCTCTGCTGGGCATGGGCTGAAGACTTCTGATTCTTGAGAACACATGTAACTTCATAATGATGATCAGCAAAGTTTCAAATCTACACTGCATCCATGACAACAAAGTCACTCATGTCAACGTCATCCATGTCAATGTCATCCATGACAACAAAGTCTCCCATGTCAACGTCATCCATGCCATACTGTTCCGTTTCAAACATATTCCCCTCATTTCCTTCAGTCTTATCACCACCTTTCCTTTCATTCTGGTTACCACTGCTCAACTGGTCCTTAGTCTCTGTGTCGACACTTTCTTTCTTCAAGTAATGACTCTTTGTCTTGGACCTGCTAGACTTGTCTCCCCAGGATCGATTTCTCAACCTTCTATGGTAATCTCTGTCATCAATCTGTTTGCTACGCATCTTTTGAGATTTTGTGGTACCACCATCAACAAAGTCTTTTCGATCTCTTTTCATTGAATCATCTTTTCTGAAATGCTCAGTGTGTTTTAGAATCTCCCGACCTCTGTTTCTTTCTTTACCACTACGTCTCACTGATTTATCTGCACTGGAACTTTTACTATATGCTCTGGATCCTCGTCCCTGACTACCTCTTGTCACGGAGTTGTCTCTCTTGAAGCTGTCACGTTGATTTGAGAATCCTCTATCTCTGTCTAATCTTCTACTCTCTCTGCCCAAGCTACTCCCTGCTCCTGGCAATATCCTGCCATCCTGTTGAGCACTCTCAGACCAGGCTATGTTGAAAGCTCCTTCGCGCTCATCATCATAATTAACCACCTCAACCACCCTCTCACTTTGTATAAATCCTTTATTTTCTTCCACAACAAGGTATTCATTCCCTTCATGAAAATATTCGTCTTCAGCAAAGACAGACTCTCTGGGCATTTCATCCTCAAAACTCTGTGACCTTCCATCCTCATTCCTCATTATGCTCACACTGCTGTTCCTAGCACTACTAAAATGTGTTCTGTCACCATCTCTATACTGAAAATACTCCTGAGAAAATCTACTATCCTCATTTAACTTCTTTTGACCTCTGTCATGCATCTGCATGTCTTTATCATCAATATTTCTGTGGACACTTTTTGTTTCTCCTCCATAACCTCTTGTGGCCTGACTTCTTAGCTCTCTCTCTGTTTCTTCATCCATTCTCTCTTCCCTTTCAGCACGACCTCCTTCACCCATCACAAAACCATCATCCATCACATGAACCCCATCTTCATCCACATAGGCCAGAGCATACTCTTCACCTTCATTCACATATTCATCCATGTACACCTCCACATGTTCTTCTTTTTCCACATTCCAGTCTCTCCTGCCAGGAATTTCTTCTATTAACCGACCATGGGTGTCTGTCCATCGCTGAAGGTCTTCACTTGACTGACAACGGCTCTCTGTCCTGTGTTGATGTGTATCTCTTGATCGATCACGGTTATCTGTCCTCTGTCGACGTTCCTTCCTTGACCGATCATCATTATCTTTCCTTTGCGAAAGGTCTTTGCTTGCCCGGCCATGGTTATCTGTCCTCTGCTGACGCTCCTTCCTTGATTGATCACTATTATCTTTCCTTTGTGAAAGGTCTTTGCTTGCCCGGCCATGGTTATCTGTCCTCTGCTGACGCCCCTTCCTTGATTGATCACTATTATCTTTCCTTTGCGAAAGGTCTTTGCTTGCCCGGCCACGGTTATCTGTCCTCTGCTGATGCTCCTTCCTTGATTGATCACTATTATCTTTCCTTTGTGAAAGGTCTTCACTTGCCCGGCCACGGTTATCCGTCCTCTGCTGACGCTCATTCCTTGACCGATCACCATTACCTCTCCTTTGTGAAAGGTCTTCACTTGCCTGGCCACGGTTATCTGTCCTGTGTTGATGTTTATCTCTCGACTGTGGGCGGTTCTCTGTCCTCTGCTGACGTTCCTCTGTTGATCGATCACTGTTATCCCTCCTCCCCTTCTTTGACGGTTTGCCATTATCTGTCCTTTGCTGACTCAGTGACTTTTTGGGGTGTGCAACTTTCAATGACTCTGTCCATTCTGGTCTCAGAACAAGATCTGATACAGGCTGGACTGATCTTTTCAATTCATCATTTGATTTCTTTTCAGTTACCATTTCTGGTTCACTTTGGGATTCACAGGATATTTCCTGAACGCTTTCCTTTTCCTGAGTTTTTATATTGCCAATGTCAAAATCATTTAAATCCTGAGCATCAAGTTCAGGGATGCTATTAGGATCTTCAATTGGCATTACTACTGACTGAGAAGCAACAGGTGGTTGTTCCATTACAAACTCAGGTGGCTGAGCAGTTGCAGACTGCATGATTACCTGCCCAGTCAGTGGGAGTTGTAATGGGACACCTGCTTGAGGATAAGGTGGAACTACTGAAGGAGCGACTGAAACAAATTGTGTGGGTCCTGAAGCCCCTACACTAGCTTCTTGTGATTGTGCATTTATTTGAGATTGAATAGGAGCTTGCTGCCAAGTTGATGTATTTAAAATCTCAGGGACAGGCAGCTGAGGCCATGCTTGTGGAAATGACTGACTTCCTACAGCAGGCTGAGGGGCAGACCTGGGTACAGGTGGAGGTGGCACAGGTTTGGGAACAGATGCTGTGGAGGGGTAGAAGGGTGTTACCTGATCATGTAAAGGCACTGCTTGTTGTGTCGACACCTGGGATGCTAGAAGTGGTGGAACAGGTGGAGTAGGCTGCTGGGATGGCAATATTGGCAACTGAGGCCTTGGCACATCCTGATCTGTGTTTCGATGCTGATTCTTGATATGAAGCAGAAGAAAGTCTTTCTTTTCGATTTTTGGGCATTTCTTCCTGATGAGTGATAGTGGTGAAGCCAGAAAATGTGCATTCTGTGCAGTCATGGACATCTTCAGCAGAAGAAAGTCTTTCTTTTGTGGAGGCTTGGTCACTTTCATGCAGGTTTCCCTGGTCACACTGCCAGGCATGACAAAGTGAATGTTGTCTCTCTCCTCTTGTCTAGCACCAAGCAGAAATGTTGACATTTCACTCCTGTCCTCAACACCATGAAAAAAATCCAGGTGTTCACGAAGATCATCTGTATCTACACATTCCATGCTACAGAATGAACAGATGAGATAAAGAACCTTTGCTTCATGAATCTTTGTCCAGTGATGGTCAAACTGCCCTGATTTGCCTTTAAATAAACATCCAGAGACATTGCACTCATATTCAGCTACTAATGGCATGTCTGGAACACTGTCTACTTGTGTCAAACCTGGTATCAAAGGCTCTGGGGTGGACTGCCTTCTTCGCAGGTAAACTTCAGGTAACCTTCGTGGTTGTGCATCTTCACGCAACCTTCGTGGTTGTGCATCATCAAGCAACCTTCGTGGTTGTGCATCATCACGCAACCTTCGTGGTTGTGCATCATCACGCAACCTTCGTGGTTGTGCATCTTCACGCAACCTTCGTGGTTGTGCATCTTCACGCAACCTTCGTGTTTGTGCATCATCAACCAACTTTTGTGGTTGTGCATCTTCAAGCAACCTTCGTGGTTGTGCATCTTCAAGCAACCTTCGTGGTTGTGCATCTTCAAGCAACCTTTGTGGTTGTGCATCTTCATGCAACCTTCGTGGTTGTGCATCTTCATGCAACCTTCGTGGCTTTCTAGCTTCTGGTGGATCATAACCTTGATTCCGTGATATGATAGATTTAGGCAATCTTTGTTGTTGGGGTCTTCGTTCCCTCCAAGATGGAAAGGTTTCAGAGGGCAGGTTCTGAAGGAACAAAATTAAAGTATACTGTATAAAGCTACATTTTGCTCATGAAAAGTTCTGTTTTCAGAAAGTTAGTGGATCCTGTCAGCTTAAAAATTGGCCACAATGATGTCAATGCATTTCAAAAAGACAAATATAATTATTATAACGTGAAGAAAAGCATTTACACTGAATATGTATATTTTTTGGGACAATGCCAAATGAATTGAAAAACTGATGAAAAACTGTATGCAACTGTGAAACAGATGCTTCAAAACATGTGCACATTGGGTTTTGATTCATACTTTATGAACCGAAAAGAAATACACACAGTCAATCCCAACAAATAAACAAATACATATGGTATTTATGACTGTTTAATCAAAAACTATTTTAATCAAAGCAGACAAAAACAATGAGATGATATACATTAAAGGTAAAGGAATACATACTATGGTGTGATGTGAATCAGGTGATTATTCAATTTTTTAACTTCACATGCCCATTAGGTCTACTGCCAGTCAACAGAGAGAAGCATCAAAAGAAAGTTCAAGAGCAACAAACTAAACAAATATCTCATGGAAAAGGTGTCTGTTTAAAATGAGAAGACACCGTTGGAAAAAATGCTAATTAGAAATGAAACCTGAAGAAATGTAATTTGTGCTACCCAGGCAAGAACAGAAAAAATAAGCAAGCCTGCAGGCTCTGCACACATATTGGTTCCCTACTTCCTGGCTTCAGGTCAAGAAAGGTCACAGGGACAATCTTGAATGAGCATGAATATCGCATAAAAATTCCAGTGGATGATATGGATAAGCAGAAAGGTATTCCTGGGATTCCCCTACTTTCCGCATGGTTGGGAATGGTTTCATTTTTCACATTCATTGGGCGGACATAAAATGCACGACCAGTTTATCTAATCACAATCTGTCAAGTAGTGCACAGATGACACAAGGTCAGTGTGAGATCTCTCTCCTCTCACAACACAACAGTGTGATGACTCTCCAAGATGCTGCCTCTCTCTCTTCTCTCACTTTTCCAATATGACATTTCTCAGAGATGCTACACCTTTCTCCTCACATACCTCCATATCGCATACGTGCACTGGAGGCTTGCTGAAGGGGTAAAGTTTGCCATATCACATATCAGCTTATGCCCCTTACCTGAAGAGGTTTGCCATAGGGGACAACATTCATCAGATCACATACCCTCAAAAGAGGCTAATCTCAAGAGAACTGGTGTAGGGACAATGTTCAATATCCAGCAATATCATCTCGGAGGACACCAGAATTGGGCTTCACACATTGTATCCATGTTGAGAATCTGACACAGGTTTTCAATGTGATCAGCGAAACTTTAACCAGGGAGCCTTTAACCAGAGAGCAACCTACCACCCCTTATCAAAATATGAACTTTTCCTTCTCTTGTCACACCTAGCTTGGTCCATATGTGCCTCATGACCTGCCAAGAGCCTTAGGAGGGTGTGTAGGGACAATGTTCACCTCATCACATAGCTCCATATATGCCTTACCTTAGGAGGCTTGGTGTAGAGACAATGTTTACCTCATCACAAAGCTCCATATATGCCTTACCTTAGGAGGCTTGGTGTAGAGACAATGTTTACCTCATCACAAAGCTCCATATATGCCTTACCTTAGGAGGCTTGGTGTATAGACAATGTTTACCTCATCACAAAGCTCCATATATGCCTTACCTTAAGAGGCTTGGTGTAGAGACAATGTTTACCTCATCACAAAGCTCCATATATGCCTTACCTTAAGAGGAGTGTAGAGACAATGTTGTCATCACAAAGCTCCATATATGCCTTTTAAGAGGCTTGGTGTAGAGACAAAGCTCCACAAAGCTATATATGCCTTACCTTAAGAGGCTTGGTGTAGAGACAATGTTTACCTCATCACAAAGCTCCATATATGCCTTACCTTAAGAGGCTTGGTGTAGAGACAATGTTTACCTCATCACAAAGCTCCATATACCTTAAGAGGCTAGAGACAATGTTTACCTTAAGAGCTCCATATATGCCTTACCTTAAGAGGCTTGGTGTAGAGACAATGTTTACCTCATCACAAAGCTCCATATATGCCTGACCTTAAGAGGCTTGGTGTAGAGACAATGTTTACCTCACCTCAGCTCCATATATGCCTTACCTTAAGAGGCTTGGTGTAGAGACAATGTTTACCTCATCACAGCTCCATATATGCCTTACCTAGAGACAATGTTTACCTCATCAAGATGCCTGCTAAGAGGCTTGTAGAGACAATGTTTACCTCATCACAAAGCTCCATATATGCCTGACCTTAAGAGGCTTGGTGTAGAGACAATGTTTACCTCATCACAAGCTCCATATATGCCTTACCTTAAGAGGCTTGGTGTAGAGACAATGTTTACCTCCAAAGCTCACATAAGCTCCATATATGCCTTACCTTAAGAGGCTTGGTGTAGAGACAATGTTTACCTCATCACAAAGCTCCATATATGCCTTACCTTAGGAGGCTTGGTGTAGAGACAATGTTTACCTCATCACAAAGCTCCATATATGCCTTACCTTAGGAGGCTTGGTGTAGAGACAATGTTTACCTCATCACAAAGCTCCATATATGCCTTACCTTAAGAGGCTTGGTGTAGAGACAATGTTTACCTCATCACAAAGCTCCATATATGCCTTACCTTAAGAGGCTTGGTGTAGAGACAATGTTTACCTCATCACAAAGCTCCATATATGCCTTACCTTAAGAGGCTTGGTGTAGAGACAATGTTTACCTCATCACAAAGCTCCATAGGCTTGACCTTAGAGGGCTTGGTGTAGAGACAATGTTTACCTCATCACAAAGCTCCATATATGCCTTACCTTAAGAGGCTTGGTGTAGAGACAATGTTTACCTCATCACATAGCTCCATATATGCCTTACCTTAAGAGGCTTGGTGTAGAGACAATGTTTACCTCATCACATAGCTCCATATGTGCCTTACCTTAAGAGGCTTGGTGTAGAGACAACATTCACCATATCACATAGCTCCATAGCTGCCCTTACCTTAAGAGGCTTGGTGTAGGGACAACATTCACCAGATCACATACCCCTATCGTTCCTTACCTGATGATGCTTGGCGTAGGTGACCTCGACCTCCTTATCATCAATAACATGTGGCTTGTCTGATACTGCTTTCTCCGCATCACCAAGTTTTTCAAATATCACAAATGCACAGCCAGTTGGTCTGAAAAAAAGAGTGAGTGCATTAATGTTTTAACCTTTTGGACCAGACTAGTAATTAATATTATGAACAAGGATCATCACTTTTGCCTACAATCAACCAGATCAGGTTCTCACTTGGAATATCAATGCCACACTCAGCAATAGTCCAGCTCTATGACAGCAGTTAGTAAATAACCAAGATGGGATGCGACAATCCTTGCACCATCAGCATTGGCTTATAGACGGTAATATTATGAACAAGGATCATCACTTTTGCCTACGATCAACCAGAATCCTACCATCTAATTCATTAGGCCATGTGCAACAAGATCAGGTTGCAAGGAATATTATTGCCACACTCAGCAATATTCCAGCTATATGACAGCAGTTTGTAAATAACCAAGATGGGATGCGACAATCCTTGCATCATCAGCATCAACCTACACAGATGAGATTTAAGCTGGCACGCATCAACCCAGTAAGTGAGCATGACCATGTGATTCGCCTCTTTAGAGATGAACTGCCACATTACAGTCATCCCATCGACCATGGGACTGACAACAAGATCACAATGAATACAAATCTGGGATCTAAACCCAGGGAAAGAAACCTTTCAAAATTTACCACTAGACCATAAATGGACAATGATTAATGGTCCTGTCTATACTTCACTGGTCCAAAATAACATTCGTAGATTTACTGAAAAATTCACTGAACACCAGGACCACAGGACCAGCATAAATTTCGCAAACTGTAAACCCAGCAGATACTCGCAGGACAAAGGGACACAACTAACCTCAATGTCGCATCATTCACCAGCTCAAAGTCCTCGACTCTTCCCCATCTGGAGAAGTAGCACATCAGCGTGTAACCGGGTGTGTGTGCTGCCAACCCTGATATTCTCAGCTTCCTACTTGGGGGCTCTGCATTTTTGGGGACCTAGAAGTGAAAGAGTGAATTGATGGATCTAATTACATTACATTTTAAATATCCATGTGTGTCAAATCGAGGTCATGTGAATATGTTTACCACTTTACCAGATCTTAAAAACACGAGAGTACATATACTGAACAGCAAAAGAAATGCAAGTTTCGAAAAAATGAAATTCCATGAAGGTAAGCTTTCATGTTTATGGAACGTTCATGGCAAAGTGACGTCATGATCCCCGATGAGATGAGGTCATGCAATTTGAAGTCCATACGAAACACTGGCACAAACACAACCACAGTGCAGCAAAGCCACAATTTAGCACGTGCATTCACGGTTCTGGATGGAAAGCATGCATTTCACTCTGAGGTATCCTTTATAAAGGTTTGTGTCAAAAAACAGTTCAGTTGACGCTAGGAGGTGTACATGCCACACAAACGATGCCTAGACTAACGACTGAGCAGAGGGGAATGGCCATTGGAAAGTTGCACGGAGGTAGCTCTGCAACCGCTGTAGCTAGACAACTGGGCTGTCATTTTACCGCCATTACACGACTTGCTCAACGTCATCAGCAAACCGGGGTTGCTGCTGATAGTCCCTGTACCAGATGGCAATGAGTGACAACTCATATGCAAGATCGGTTCATCCAGGTCACTCATCTATGGAACCGAAATCAAGCAGCAACAGTAACAGCAGCCTTAGTTCTTGGGTCAAGGGGAGCAGTGTCCAGCGATACGATTAGGCATCGTCTTTGGGCTGCCTGAATCCACTGCCGAAGGCCATATGTGGGGCCAATTTTGGCACGTCAACAACGCCAATGACATTTGCAGCCCTCACATAGCAAGGGTGTCGATAGATTGTCTGGCTCAGAACAACATTAACATTTTGCCATGGCCGTCTCTTTCCCGGATATGGCTCCCATTGAACATTCTGGGATGAAATTGGACGAAGGATTGGGGCAGGTAGACAGCCACTCACACTTGCACAATTGGAATAGAGATTGGTGTTTGGGCGTAACCAATTGCCCAAGGCATCCTTTCAGGCTCTAGTGAACTCAATGAGGCCACGTTGCACGGTCTGTGAGCAAGCTCAAGGTGGCTATATGCGCTACTAAAGAGACTGTCACTTTTCGCGTTCAGGGGTATCTCCATTTGATGGACTGTAATCAATTTGAACTTATTGCAATTCAATGTCAACAGCAACTTTTTGCTGTTAAATTGACATTGTTTTCTATAGAATAAATGATTACACATGATTTTGGTTGTCTCTTATTCAAAAACTTGACAAAAAAGCCAGACTTGCGTTTCTTTTGCTGTTCAGTATATATATATAGTGTCTCAAGGATCATCAAAAGGAAAGACCGCCTCCGTGGTGTAGTTAGAGCATCCACCCGGAGAGCGGAAGGTCGCGGGTTTGATCCCAAACCGCGTCATACCAAAAGACGCTAAAATATGGTACTTGTTGGTCCCTGCCTGGTGCTCGGCATTAATGGGTATAACAAGGACTGGTTGGCTCAGTGTCAGTATACTGTGTCTGAATGGGGTATTCATGTTTCACAGGTATCTCAGTGGGCTAGCACTATAAAACCAGCTTCAGTCTGGGCTAGTACAAGCAGCCGCACATACACATACACACACATGCACATATGAGCGAAATATTCTCAAGCACGACGTTAAACCCAATTTCCTCACCTCAAAAGGAAAAGTCTGGGATAACACGACAATAACATCCTGATCATCAAGGGCATAAATGGGTATGGTTTAACACCACTTTTAACAACATTCCAGCAATATCATCTCGGAGGACACCAGAATTGGGCTTCATACATTGTATCCATGTCAAGAATCTAACACAGGTTTTCAATGTGATCAGTGAAGTTTTAACCAAAAATGTACCTACCACCCCCTATCGAAATATGACTGACTGAGTTTAGTTTTACGCTGCTTTTAGCAATATTCCAGCAATATCACGGCGGGGGACACCAGAAATGGGCTTTACACATTGTGCCCATGTGGGGAATCAAACCCGGGTCTTCGGCGTGACGAGCCAACACTTTAAGCACTAGACTACCCCACCGCCCCTATCGAAATATGAACTTTCCCTTGTCTGTTGGAAATAATGTTAATGAATATACTTCCTTTTGTCTACTGTTGACAATAAATATTGAATATACTAGAAATGAAATATGAAAGGAAAGTCTAAGTGACTCACAGGATTGGCAGGTCTGACAGGAATCGCAGGTCTGACAGGAATGGTGGGTCTGACAGGAATGACGGGTCTTGCAGGAATGACGGGTCTTACAAATCCTGCAGGTTGAGTAGGAGCAGCAGAGTTTGGTGATTCGTAGGCTGTACACAAAGCAAGAAGCATGAATGTATCTGTGTATATTTGTTAATATTGTAATATGACAGCTGAACCCATGCCACAATATCTTTATATCACAGACAGCAATACAGCAATACAGCAATGAGTTGTTTAACAGCAACCATACAGCAACATCACTTCTGTTTGACAGCAACATTACTGCAATGTATCACATCAATGTCACAGCAATATAATCGCCACATCACAACAATTTCACACTTGTATAACTGTCACATTACAGCAAGATAATACGGTAATATCACAGCTGGATAAACTGGCACATTACAGTAAGATCACAGCTGTATAAATGCGACACAGTTACATATTACAGCAATATCACAGACACATAACTGCCACATTAGAGTTATATCACAGCTGGATTAACTGGCACATTACAGTATTGTCACAGCTGGATTAATGGGCACATTACTATAATATGACAGATGTACAACTGCCACATAGTAACACATTACAATAATATCACATATATAACTGCCACATTACAATAATATATTACAGTAATGTCACAGTTGTATAACTGCCACATTACAGTTATATCACAGCTGTATAATTGCCACATTACAGCAATATATTACAGCTGTATAACTACCACATTACAGTTATATCACAGCTGTATAACTGCCACATTACAGCAATAGATTACAGCAATATATTAAAGCAATATTGCAATATCACTGCAATGTTACATGAGTGTATCAGCAATTACAGCAATATCACTGAAACATCCCAGCAAAACTTCAACAATATTTCACAGCAATATTTTCAAAATGTATCACATCAATAGCACTGCAACATTATGGCCATATCACAGCAATATCTTCAAAATATATCACAGCAATATTACAGAGCACTCCAACTACATTTCATCAATTTTCAATGCACACAATGCCTTTTAGAAATGGTCAAATGCAACATATGGTGTATTGGGGTTTACACTTTTGATGTACATATTCTAGTACGGTTTGAGGTTGAGCCCCAACTGGGATTCAAACCTGCACTGTCAGAGTCATGCACCTGATCACCAGCACATAAGTCAGTGATCTAACCCATTCAGCATCTTGTGTTTGGCTGAAAAACACTTCAGTTGAAAAGTCTGAAGATCATTCTTGCATGATTGCTGCCAAAATGAATACAATATTTATGGCAATAATGCAAGAGATGGAGGGAATTTGTACGAGTTATAGGTTTCTGGAGTGCCCAAGGGAGGCAACTCTGTCAAGAGAGCAGCAGTGGTTTAGATAACAAGGGCAGCCAGTGATTGACAACACCAGCAATGATCCAGTAAGCTGACCCAATCCAGGTTCAGGGGGACCAATTACCAGTCTTCACAACTTCAAACATTTTCTGTCACAGTTTAACAAAAATCAGACGTTATTTCTCACTATCTTTACAAAAAAGTATTTGAGGAATTCTCTGTACATGTCACATCTAAATGACCAATCAGAACATTGCAAACAGCATTCCAAATGACAGAGGTATAAGCATCTAAAAAGGCAGATTTTGCATAGCCCATGGGAATTACATGTACTGTCCTACAATGTTCAGAAAGCTGCTTTCTGATTGGCTAAAATCAATTTCCTCTTGGTCATTTCATTGGTCAGACAAAGTCTAGGACAGGTTGTGGATGTTACTGAAGCTGTTGTGAGCAACAACATATGATTTTAATTAGATTTTTGTCTGTCCCCAAATACTCAGTGATATCAATATGAAAAGAACACAAAACTCTTTTCTCTTACCTTTCATTGGTTCCATTTCCTGAAATAAATTAGAAACATCATAATCATTAACAAAATTCATATGAATTATTGAACAGAATTATTAGGAGAAATGAAGTATTATTGTTTACATAAATTTCTGCTTCCACATCTTCAATGTTAAATTAAATTGTTGTATGCATGTGACAGACATCAGTGTTATTTGTTACTGAATATAAACTTTCTTTTCTCTACTTTAAAATTGAATACAAAAAAGAAAACGGAAATGAACAAAGTGACAACAGAGTTGAAAATCTGGTCCTTGTAGTAAGGGGACATAACCATACACAACAGAGTAGGTAGAGGGACAAGGTTACCAGATCACATACCCCCATATCACATACCCTCTTTGGAGGCTTGGTGTAGGGGGTAAAGTTCCCCATATCACATATCCCCATATGCCCCTTATCTGAAGAGGCTTGCCATAGGGGACGACATGCACCAGATCACATACCCTCAAAAGAGGCTAATCTCAAGAGGCTTGGTGTAGGGACAATGTTCACCAGATCACATAGCTCCATATGTGCCTTTCCTTAGGAGGCTTGGTGTAGGGACAATCTTCACCATATCACATACCCCTATACATTGCTTACCTCATGATGCTTGGCGTAGGTGACTTCGACCTCCTTATCATCAATAACATGTGGCTTGTTTGATACTGCTTTCTCTGCATCACCAAGTTTTTCAAATATCACAAATGCACAGCCAGTTTGTCTGAAAATAAAAGAGTGAGTGCATTAAGCTTTTGGACCAGACTAGTGATTACCGTATATTACCGTCTACAAGTTGACCCAATAGATAGCTGACCCCCAAACTTGACCCTTAAAATCAGTGTCAAATTGGTATGTTTCGTACATAAGCCGATCCCCCGCGATGGGGTCCTAATCCTGGCAAACACAGACCACAGTCAACTGGCAGTTACCAATACTTATAACTTTGGTCCACATTATTCAAAGAATTCACAATGATATTGTGTCTACTCACGCATTGAAATGAAGTGTAGTTGACAGAAAATGGATAATATATTTTGTTTCGCTAAATATCATACTTATTGTAGCTGGACAATCACATGTCAACAAACTGGCTTGCTTATTTTACCCTTTCAACAATCACGAGCTGATTACTGCCTCCTTTTCCATGGACTTCTAGTTTACAGTAACATCAGTAAAAATGTGTGAATTTAAATGGCTTGCTTATTTTACCCCATTCCATATGCGTACAACTTCCGCTTACCACATTCATGAGGGTCCGTATAACCTTAGTGTTGATTATATATATTTAACATTTATAGAGCAAAAACTGTAATTAAAATTACACAATGCTAGGATATATTTCTTTGGGTTAAATAATAGTATTATGTATTATATTTTACAGATGACTGTGTCAGAATTCATCCCATTATATTATTGTGCACGTTTGAACTTGATCGGCGGGAAACGTGTGCACAGCCGATTGCTATTTCCGGCTCAGATACACAAGGTAATCTTAATCCCTGCAAATAATACAATGCCCAGCAAAAAAAACCTTAGAACTTAAAAGGTAAATAATCTTGTCTAGTGATGTTTAATTGCAAATTTTATGTCTTTACTGACAAAGTTGTCTTCTGTTGTTTGTTCACTTGAAGTGATACGATGTTGCTTTCTTACCCCTGGAAAAAAATTTGATGAGAGCGTTACCCATAGATAAGCCGACCCCCTTCTACAGACTGCTTTTTTTATCCTTAAAATTCAGCTTATTGACGGTAATATACAGTAATATTATGAACAAGGATCATCACTTTTGCCTACAATCAGCCAGAACCCTACCATCGGATTCATTTGGCCATGTGCAGATCAGGTTGCAAGGAATCAATTCTAACTTGGAATATTATTGCCACACTCAGCAATATTCCAGCTATATGACAGCAGTTTGTAAATAACCAAGATGGGATGCGACAATCAAAAGCTTGCATCAACCTACTCAGCTGAGTCAAGCTGACATACATCAACCCAGTAAGTGAGCATGACCATGTGATTCGCCTCTTTAGAGATGAACTGCTACATTACAGTTATCCCATCGACCATGGGACTGATAACAAGATCACAATGAATACAAATCTGGGATCTAAACCCAGGGAAAGAAACCTTTCAAAATTTACCACTAGACAACAGGACCATAAATGGACAATGATTAATGGTCCTGTCTATACTTCACTGGTCCAAAATAACATTTGTAGATTTACTGAAAAATTTACTGGCCACCAGGACCACTGCAAACTTATCATTTAGTGGTCCTGATGACGTTTTACCAGCCAGGGACCACAGGACCAGCATAAATTTTGCAAACTGTAAACCCAGCTGATACTGTCAGGACAAAGGGACACAACTAACCTCAATGTCGCATCATTCACCAGCTCAAAGTCCTCGACTCTTCCCAATCTGGAGAAGTAGCACATCAGCGTGTAACCGTGTGTGTGTGCTGCCAACCCTGATATTCTCAGCTTCCTACTGGGAGGCTCAGCCTTGTGGGGAACCTAGATGTGAAAGAGTGAATTGATGGATATAATTACATTACATGTTTAATATCCATGTGTGTCAAATCGAGGTCATGTGAATATGTTTACCACTTTACCCGATCTTAAAAACACGAGAGCACATATATAGTGTCTCAAAAATCATCAAAAGGAAAAGTCAGGGATAAGATGACAATCACATCCTGATCGTCAAGGGCATAAGTGAGTATGGTTTAACGCAACCTTTAGCAATCTTCCAGCAATATCATCTCGGAGGATACATGAAATGGGCTCCACACATTGTATCCATGTCAAGAATCTAACACAGGTTTTCAATGTGATCAGCGAAGTTTTAACCAGAAAGGTACCTACCACCCCCTATCGAAATATGACTGACTGAGTTTAGTTTTATGCCGCTTTTAGCAATATTCCAGCAATATCACGGCAGGGGACACCAGAAATGGGCTTCACACATTGTGCCCATGTGGGGAATCGAATCCGGATCTTCGCTTTAACCACTAGGCTATCCCACCGCCCCTATCGAAATATGAACTTTCCCTTGTCTGTTGGAAATAATGTTAATGAATATACTTCCTTTTATCTACTGTTGACAATAAATATTGAATATACTAGAAATGAAATATGAAAGGAAAGACTAAATGACTCACAGGATTGGCAGGTCTGACAGGAATCGCAGGTCTGACAGGAATGGTGGGTCTGACAGGAATGGTGGGTCTGGCAGGAAAGACGGGTCTTGCAGGAATGACGGGTCTTACAAATCCTGCAGGAATGACGGCTCTTGGAATAAAAGGTGTCGGATATCCTGCAGGTTGAGCAGGAGCAACAGAGTTTGGTGATTCGTAGGCTGTACACAAAGCAAGAAGCATGAATGTATCTGTGTGTATTCGTTAATATTGTAATATGACAGCTGAACCCATGCCACAATATCTTTATATCACAGACAACAATACAGCAATGATTTGTTTAACAGCAACCATACAGCAACATCACTTCTGTATGACAGCAACATTACTGCAATGTATCACATCAATGTCATAGCCATATAACAGCCACATCACAACAATTTCACACTTGTATAACTGTCACATTACAGCAAGATAATACGGTAATATCACAGCTGAATTAACTGGCACATTACAGCAATATTGCAATGTTACATGAGTGTATCAGCAATTACAGCAATATCACTGAAACATCCCAGCAAAACTTCAACAATATTTCACAGCAATATTACAGAGCATTCCAACAGCATTTCATCAATTTTCAGTGCACACAATGCCTCTTAGAAATGGTCAAATGCAACATATGGTGTATTGGGGTTTACACTAAGCATCTAAAAAGGCAGATTTTGCATAGCCCATGGGAATTACATGTACTGTCCTACAATGTTCAGAAAGCTGCTTTCTGATTGGCTAAAATCAATTTCCTCTTGGTCATTTCATTGGTCAGACAAAATCTAGGACAGGTTGTGCTGAAATGGGATGTTACTGAAGCTGTTGTGAGCAACAACATATGATTTTAATTAGATTTTTGTCTGTCCCCAAATACTCAGTGATATCAATATGAAAAGAACACAAAACTCTTTTCTCTTACCTTTCATTGGTTCCATCCCCTGCAATAAATTAGAACCATCATTATCATTAACAAAATCTATATGAATTATTGAACAGAATTATTTGGAGAACTGAAGTATTCTTGTTTATATAAATTTCTGCTTCCACATTTTTAATGTTGAATTAAATTGGTGTATGCGTGTGACATACATCAGAGTTAAAAAACTGGTCCTTGTGGTAAGGGGACATAACACTACACAATAGAGTTGACAATCAGATCCTGGTAGTAATGGGACCCAGCTCTACACAATTGAGTTGACAATCTGGTCCTGATAGTAAGGGGATATAACTCTATACAATAGAGTTGACAATCTGGTCCTGGTAGTAAGGGGACATAACTCTACACAACTGAGTAGACAATCTGGTCCTGATTGTAAGGGGACATAACTCTACACAATAGAGTTGACAATCTGGTCCTGATAGTAAGGGGACATAACTCTACACAATAGAGTGTACAATCAGATCCTGGTAGTAATGGGACCCAACTCTACACAACACAGAGTTTACAATCTGGTCCTGACAGCCAAGGGATATAACTCTGTACAAGTTGCTTTACCACCATGAATATGTTGAATTTAACTGATGATTTACAATCAAATCCTGTTCACTTTCATCATTTTGTCAACAGAAAATGTCCTGTACCATACAATCCTGCACACAAGTGTGTCAATGTAGGGAATTGAACCCAGGTCATTGGTGTCATGAGCAAACGCTTGAACCACTAGGCTACCCAACCACCCAATAACGAATATCAACTTTCGATTGTCAGTTGGTTATAATGTTATGGAATGTGACCTTCCTTTCTTCTACTGTTAACAATGAATATTGAATATACAAGACATGTAGAATGACAACTTTGAATGGAATCACAAACTTAGAATCGGTGAGAAAAAAAGAGCAAGTGACTTACGGGATAGGCGGGTCTGGCGAAACCGAAATCTCTGGTGGGACCAGCAGGTCTGGGAGGACTGACACGTCTGGCGTATCTGGGAGGACTGGGGGGTCTGGGAGGTCTGGGAGGACTGGGGGGTCTGTCGTATCTAGGAGGACTGGCAGGTCTGTCGTATCTAGGAGGACTGGCAGGTCTGTCGTATCTAGGAGGACTGGCAGGTCTGTCGTATCTAGGAGGACTGGCAGGTCTGTTGTATCTGTGACGACCGCGGTATCTGGCAGGTTTGCGAGGACCGGCAAGTTTTGCGGCCTGAGCATCAGATTTTTGCGATACTGTTCACAAATCAAGAAACATGAGCATATCTGTGTGGAAAATTTGTTAATATCATAATTTCACAGATATATCCCTGCATACTTGTCTCACAGCAGTATCAGACCAACAGTACAGCAATGATGCAGCAGAATAGCTGTAAAATAGCAACATTAAGGCATGGCCTCAGCATCTATGGCTAGGTTAACGAGAAATCAACGACAACAAGCCATTGGATGTCGAGACACTGGTCCAGGTGCTGGAGTTATTGCAAATGACTTCAATTTCAGCGGAGGAACGATAGAACGTTTAGACAGCGATACAACGCCACCAACAGCACCGATGACCGTCCACGTAGTGGTCGACCCCATGTAACAACACGTCGCCAGGATCGTCATATCATTCATCAACACCTTCTGTTAACCAAACCATAGCTGCTGTGTTCAGAAAACAAGTGAACGATTGCCATTCAAGCTGGCAATTTATGCCTGAATACAGCAATACAGCAATATCACAGCTGTACAACTGCCACATTACAACAATATATTACAATAAGATCACAGCTGTATAACAGCCACATTACAGCAATATATTACAATAAGATCACAGCTGTATAACAGCCACATTACAGCAATATATTACAATAAGATCACAGCTGTATAACAGCCACATTACAACAATATATTACAATAAGATCACAGCTGTATAACAACACATAGATCACAATATTACAAGTAATATCACAGCTGTATAACAGCCACATTATAGCAATATATTACAGTAATATCACGGCTGTATAACAGCACACACATTAGAACAATATATTACAGTAATATCACAGCTGTATAACAGCCACAACAATACAGCAATATATTACAGTAATATCACGGCTATATTACAGTAATATGTAACAGCCACATTACAGCAATATATTACAATAAGATCACAGCTGTATAACAGCCACATTACAGCAATATATTACAGTATATTACAGCAATATCACGGCTGTATAACTGTCACATTACAGCAATATATTACAATAAGATCACAGCTGTATAACAGCCACATTACAGCAATATATTACAGTAATATCACGGCTGTATAACAGCAACACATTAGAACAATATATTAATATCACAGCTGTAGTAATATCACAGCTGTATAACTGTCACATTACAGCAATATATTACAATAAGATCACAGCTGTATAACAGCCACATTACAGCAATATATTACAGTAATATCACGGCTGTATAACAGCAACACACATTACAGCAATATATTACAGTAATATCACAGCTGTATAACAGCCACATTACAGCAATATATTACAATAAGATCACAGCTGTATAACAGCCAAATTACAGCAATATATTACAGCAATATCACAGCTGTATAACTGTCACATTACAGCAATATATTACAATAAGATCACAGCTGTATAACAGCCACATTACAGCAATATATTACAGTAATATCACGGCTGTATAACAGCAACACACATTAGAACAATATATTACAGTAATATCACAGCTGTATAACAGCCACATTACAGCAATATATTACAATAAGATCACAGCTGTATAACAGCCAAATTACAGCAATATATTACAGCAATATCACAGCTGTATAACAGCCACAATAGAGCAATATATTAGAATAATATCACAGCTGTATAACTGTCACATTACAGCAATATATTACAATAAGATTTACAGCAATATATTACAATAAGATCACAGCTGTATAACAGCCACATTACAGCAATATATTACAGTAATATCACAGCTGTATAACAGCCACACACATTAGAACAATATATTACAGTAATATCACAGCTGTATAACAGCCACATTACAGCAATATATTACAATAAGATCACAGCTGTATAACAGCCAAATTACAGCAATATATTACAGCAATATCACAGTTGTATAACAGCCACATTACAGCAATATATTACAGCAATATCACAGCTGTATAACAGCCACAATAGAGCAATATATTACAGTAAGATCACTGTCTGTAAATAATCGAGTCTGGACCAGACAATCCAGTGATCAACAGTATTAGCATCGATCTGCGCTATTGGGAACCGATGACATGTGTCAACCAAGTCAGCGATCCCGTTAGTCGCCTCTTACGACAAGCATAGTCGCCTTTTGTGGCAAGCATGGGTTGCTGAAGACCTATTCTACCTTGGATCTTCACTGGTCTACATGACATGAAAATATTGAGGTTAAAAAGACAGAAATAGGATAAAACTTGTTCACTCATCATACCGTCCACACATCAGAAAATCTGAAAAAGTTTTACCGCTGGGATAGGTTATTAGAATCAGACTAGAACTATCAGATAATGGTATCTGATGGGCATCCAATTGTTTAGGTTGAAGATATTCTGCTAGCGTGGACAGTTGCCCAGTCCTCATGCTGGTCACGGTCAAGGGAGCACCTCACAGCTAGATGACCTAATTAGACTATTGGTGCAAAACAGTAATCGCTCTGGATAAGTGCCCCTTTAAGCCAGCAGAGTAAATTGAGAGCTTCAACTGTCAGCATATTTTAGTAACGGTGGATAAGACACATACTCTTGCAATATAAATTTGTTTGGATAGTAACACCACATGTTAACATCACAAAATTGGATACTAAAAAAATATTACGAGCTGTGTAAGAGTGCAGTACGAGTTCATATGACCAATCAGGACATTGCACGCTGCATTCCAAATGACAGGGGGATAAGCATCTAAAACAGCAGACATCCCATAGCCGGCAGGAATTACATGTTCTGTCTTACTATGTTCAGAAAGCCGCTTTCTGATTGGCTAATATCAACTTCCTGTTGATCATTAAACAGACAAAGTACATGACAGGTCGGCCTGAAATGGGATGTTGCCGCAGCTATAGTGAGCAATAACATATTTTTGTCTGGCCCCAAATACCCAGAGATATCAATGTGAAAATAACCCAAAATATTATTCTCTTACCTCTTATATCTTCTCCACCCTGAAATATAGAGACATAAGACATAAAAATGGAGAAAAAGTTTCAAATTTTGTCCTTTATCTTTCAAGCTTTCATCTTGTAATACCTATTTTGAATTACATTATATTTTGCTCACAAAGGAATAAAGACAACATTCATCTTACCACTCGAAATAGTGTCAAGAAATATTGTGATCATTAATTTATGAAGACAGTGATCTGTGTGGTAATGCCAATGAAGTGAAAACCAACACAATAAGGGGATACACAACTGGCTTGACGATCAGATCCTGGTAGTTTGGGGACATAACTCTACACAGCTGACTTGACAATCAGATCCTGGTAGTCAGGGGACATAACTCTACACAACAGGCTTGACGATCAGATCCTGGTAGACAGGGGACATAACTCTACACAACTGGCTTGACGATCAGATCCTAGTAGTTATGGGACATAACTCTACACAACTGGCTTGACAATCAGATCCTGGTAGTCAGGGGACATAACTCTACACAGCTGATTTGACGATCAGATCCTGGTAGTCAGGGGACTTAACTCTACAGAACAGGCTTTAAGATCAGATCAGATCATGGTAGTCAGGGTACATAACTCTACACAGCTGACTTGACAATCAGATCCTGGTAGTCAGGGAACATAACTCTACACAACTGGCTTGACGATCAGATCCTGGTAGTCAGGGGACATAACTCTACACAACTGGCTTGACGATCAGATCCTGGTAGTCAGGGGACATAACTCTACACAGCTGACTTGACAATCAGATCCTGGTAGTCAGGGAACATAACTCTACACAGCTGACTTGACAATCAGATCCTGGTAGTCAGGGGACTTAACTCTACATAACTAACTTGACAATCAGATCCTGGTAGTCAGGGAACATAACTCTACACAGCTAACTTGACAATCAGATCCTGGTAGTCAGGGAACATAACTCTACACAGCTGACTTGACAATCAGATCCTGGTAGTCAGGGGACATAACTCTACACAGCTGACTTGACAATCAGATCCTGGAAGTCAGGGGACTTAACTCTACACAACTGGCTTGACAATCAGATCCTGGGAGTCAGGGGACATAACTCTACACAGCTGACTTGACAATCAGATCCTGGTAGTCAGGGAACATGCCTCTACACAACTGGCTTGACAATCAGATCCTGGTAGTCACGGGACATAACTCTACAGAACAGGCTTGATGATCAGACCCTGGTAGTCCTGGGACATAACTCTACACAGCTGACTTGACAATCAGATCTTGGTAGTCAGGGGACATAACTCTACACAACTGGCTTGATGATCAGATCCTGGCAGTCAGGGGACATAACTTTACACAACTGGCTTGACGATCAGATCCTGGTAGTCAGGGGACATAACTCTACACAGCTGACTTGACAATCAGATCCTGGTAGTCAGGGAACATGCCTCTACACAACTGGCTTGACAATCAGATCCTGGTAGTCACGGGACATAACTCTACAGAACAGGCTTGATGATCAGACCCTGGTAGTCCTGGGACATAACTCTACACAGCTGACTTGACAATCAGATCTTGGTAGTCAGGGGACATAACTCTACACAACTGGCTTGATGATCAGATCCTGGCAGTCAGGGGACATAACTTTACACAACTGGCTTGACGATCAGATCCTGGTAGTCAGGGGACATAACTCTACACAGCTGACTTGACAATCAGATCCTGGTAGACAGGTGACATAACTCTACACAACTGGCTTGATGATCAGATCCTGGTAGTCAGGGGACATAACTCTACACAGCTGGCTTGAGGATCAGATCCTGGTAGTCAGGGGACATAACTCTACACAGCTGACTTGACAATCAGATCCTGGTAGACAGGGGACATAACTCTACATAACTGCAATGACAATCAGATCCTGGTTGTCAGGGTACATAACTCGACACAACTGGCTTGAAGATCAGATCCTGGTAGTCAGGGGACATAACTCTACACAGCTGACTTGACAATCAGATCCTGGTAGACAGGGGACATAACTCTACACAACTGGCTTGACGATCAGATCCTGGTAGTCAGGGGACATAATTCTACACAAATGGCTTGACGATCAGATCCTGGTAGTCAGGGGACATTACTCTACACAGCTGACTTGACAATCAGATCCTAGTAGACAGGGGACATAACTCTACACAACTGGCTTGACGATCAGATCCTGGTAGTCAGGGGACATAATTCTACACAAATGGCTTGACGATCAGATCCTGGTAGTCAGGGGACATAACTCTACACAGCTGACTTGACAATCAGATTCTGGAAGTCAGGGGACTTAACTCTACACAACTGGCTTGACAATCAGATCCTGGGAGTCAGGGGACATAACTCTACACAGCTGACTTGACAATCAGATCCTGGTAGTCAGGGAACATGACTCTACACAACTGGCTTGACAATCAGATCCTGGTAGTCACGGGACATAACTCTACAGAACAGGCTTGATGATCAGACCCTGGTAGTCCTGGGACATAACTCTACACAGCTGACTTGACAATCAGATCTTGGTAGTCAGGGGACATAACTCTACACAACTGGCTTGATGATCAGATCCTGGTAGTCAGGGGACATAACTTTACACAACTGGCTTGACGATCAGATCCTGGTAGTCAGGGGACATAACTCTACACAGCTGACTTGACAATCAGATCCTGGTAGACAGGTGACATAACTCTACACAACTGGCTTGATGATCAGATCCTGGTAGTCAGGGGACATAACTCTACACAGCTGGCTTGAGGATCAGATCCTGGTAGTCAGGGAACATAACTCTACACAGCTAACTTGACAATCAGATCCTGGTAGTCAGGGAACATAACTCTACACAGCTGACTTGACAATCAGATCCTGGTAGTCAGGGAACATAACTCTACACAGCTGACTTGACAATCAGATCCTGGTAGTCAGGGGACTTAACTCTACACAACTGGCTTGACAATCAGATCCTGGGAGTCAGGGGACATAACTCTACACAGCTGACTTGACAATCAGATCCTGGTAGTCAGGGAACATGCCTCTACACAACTGGCTTGACAATCAGATCCTGGTAGTCACGGGACATAACTCTACAGAACAGGCTTGATGATCAGACCCTGGTAGTCCTGGGACATAACTCTACACAGCTGGCTTGACGATCAGATCCTGGTAGTCAGGGGACATAACTCTACACAGCTGACTTGACAATCAGATCCTGGTAGACAGGGGACATAACTCTACATAACTGCAATGACAATCAGATCCTGGTTGTCAGGGTACATAACTCGACACAACTGGCTTGAAGATCAGATCCTGGTAGTCAGGGGACATAACTCTACACAGCTGACTTGACAATCAGATCCTGGTAGACAGGGGACATAACTCTACACAACTGGCTTGACGATCAGATCCTGGTAGTCAGGGGACATAACTTTACACAAATGGCTTGACGATCAGATCCTGGTAGTCAGGGGACATAACTCTACACAGCTGACTTGACAATCAGATCCTGGTAGACAGGGGACATAACTCTACACAACTGGCTTGACGATCAGATCCTGGTAGTCAGGGGACATAACTCTACACAACTGGCTTGACGATCAGATCCTGGTAGTCAGGGGACATAACTCTACACAGCTGACTTGACAATCAGATTCTGGAAGTCAGGGGACTTAACTCTACACAACTGGCTTGACAATCAGATCCTGGTAGTCAGGGGACATAACTCTACACAGCTGACTTGACAATCAGATCCTGGTAGTCAGGGAACATAACTCTACACAACTGGCTTGACAATCAGATCCTGGTAGTCAGGGGACATAACTCTACACAACTGGCTTGACAATCAGATCCTGGTAGTCCTGGGACATAACTCTACACAGCTGACTTGACAATCAGATCTTGGTAGTCAGGGGACATAACTCTACACAACTGAGCTTGACAATCAGATCCTGGTAGTCAGGGGACATAACTCTACACAACTGCTTGACAATCAGATCCTGGTAGTCAGGGGACATAACTCTACACAGCTGACTTGACAATCAGATCCTGGTAGACAGGGGACATAACTCTACACAACTGACTTGACAATCAGATCCTGGTAGTCAGGGGACATAACTCTACACAGCTGACTTGACAATCAGATCCTGGTAGTCAGGGGACATAACTCTACACAGCTGACTTGACAATCAGATCCTGGTAGACAGGGGACATAACTCTACATAACTGCAATGACAATCAGATCCTGGTAGTCAGGGTACATAACTCTACACAACTGGCTTGAAGATCAGATCCTGGTAGTCAGGGGACATAACTCTACACAGCTGACTTGACAATCAGATCCTGGTAGACAGGGGACATAACTCTACACAACTGGCTTGACGATCAGATCCTGGTAGTCAGGGGACATAACTCTACACAACTGGCTTGACGATCAGATCCTGGTAGTCAGGGGACATTACTCTACACAGCTGACTTGACAATCAGATCCTAGTAGACAGGGGACATAACTCTACACAACTGGCTTGACGATCAGATCCTGGTAGTCAGGGGACATAACTCTACACAGCTGACTTGACAATCAGATTCTGGAAGACAGGGGACATAACTGCAATGACAATCAGATCCTGGTAGTCAGGGCACATAACTCTATAGACCACTGTACTGGTGATTAGATTCTGAAAGTCAGGGGACATAACTCTACATACCTGCAATGACAATCAGATCCTGGTTGTCAGGGTACATAACTCGACACAACTTCATCATAAATCTTACATCAGATATACTTACCCATTTAGTCAAGTGAGACCAACGTACATTCAGTTTCTTTTTATTCAGAAAATGTACATCTTGATGGCAACGCAGAGTATCATCTTCCTTCAAATAGGCTAAAAAGGCCATCAGCTCATTACTGAAAAGGAGCATAAGTAAATGTAACGAAATCGAAACAGTCAAAGAATACAGGCTTCCTAAGGGGTCGCATGTTCCCCTGTTACAGACAAGGAATACAGGGAACCTAATCTCCTCATGTCCAGTTTTTGGTTACTTGTTGAAGGCCACACCCTGCAATATTCCAGCTATATGGCGGCAGTCTGTAGAGATGGAATCGGCGCCAGACGTTGCACTGATCATAAGCATCAATCTATGCAAATGGGATTGATAGCATGTGTCAACCAAGTCGGCCACTCACATTAGTTGCCTCTTATAACAAGCATGGGTTGCCTTAACCAAATCCACATGCAGTACAATCTATACAAGTGATGTGATGATAGACATTTGCACAAGAAATCTGAGCAGCACAGATTAATGGGAATATTCTGCACCTTCAACTCTTCTGTAGGTGCATTCAAGGAGGTATATTGAATAAACACTTTCGAAATATTTTAAGCAGTCACAGATTTAGAACACATCTCCACACTCAATTGCCTGATTTAATTCAGCAACAACTACCTCCATCTCACAGCCAGCTCAAATGCATATCAAAATCCAATCTTTGGCGGAGTTTGGGCTGACGTGGAGAGAGACATTTTGTTTACAGTGCATTGATCTACATGAAAATGAAGTGATTTTCCATTACTAGTTGTATTTGCCAGATGCACAAATGGGATGTTGAGTTGTGGGTGTACTAAATCATTACATGAAAGCACCAAGTGTCTTTAATTTGGATTTCAAAGTGCAAAGACCAATTAAGCAAGGAGGAAAGATGTTTGGATACAGTGATGTCAGTATCGACAGAAATGGAAACCACAGTTTTCTGTCTGATCATGTGGAGGTGTGTGTTCCTGTGCAAAGACCTCAGGTCACGAATCAGTTGAAGTTAAGCAATGTTCGGCACGGACAGTCCTTGGATGGGTGACTGTGTGTGACAGCTTGACTCTTGAGAGTTTCTAAGACTAGAAGCCTGCCCCACAACAAAACAAATGTGATACATGTGGTCTCACCTTCGGCAAGTGAGTTTGTTCAAAATAGCCTCTGTTCACCCAGCAGAAATTAGGTACCCAGTGAAATTAATAGTGAAACTATTAACCAGATGATGTAGTAGTGATTAGTAGTGATTTTCCAATAAATGCCGATGTAAATATTTGTTTGTGTGTAACAGCGTTTGAATTTGATTCTACATTCATTATCGATTATTCACGATTCCAATTCCTTTTTAATTTTTCATACAAACTGTTTTAAAAGTCAGTGGTGAAGGGATAGATTCTACTAGTTGGGAATTTCACAAGATGGGGTTATTTAGGAGTCCTGCCTCTGGATCCTCTAACAAAAAATATTTCAGTCATATTCTGTGTCTAAATCAGTCACACATTACGGTAAAACAAACAGGTTTTAGGTTAGAGAGGTGTGAATGTGGTATACACGTTAAGAGACATTAGAACATGTTCTGTATTTCTTAGTGTAACGATGTAAATCATATTTTATTTATTATCAAATACATTATCTGTGTTTATTTCATTTGCAGTTTAAATCTACACCTGGCTCATTTTACACAAGAATAACTGTTTCAAATTTTTTATTTAGAAACATATTTTCAGACTGTGTTCCCAAATCTATCCATGTTGACACCTGATTGACAGTTGATTCTTCAATCGATCAGTATACCTTCTTTCCCTACTGTCACGACTGTTTTGACTGATATTGTAGGCATTGCCTGGTGCTACAAACACAACAGAGAAAGTGTCTGCATGAAATGACAGTTTCCACTATGAATTCAGGCCACGTGATCAGAACTATGCTGCAGAGCTCGAATAACTGTTTCACATTTTCTATTTAGAAATAAAGTTGAAAACCAGGCTGTATTCCCAAATCTATGCATGTTGACATCTGAATCACAGCTGAGTTTTCCATCAATCAACACCTTCCTTTCCCTGCTGTCACGACGGTTTTGACCGATATTGTTATGGACATGTACTGATATGTGTAAGATCATTGAGTTAAAATTTAACCCTTTTTCCTCTTGGTGGTTTCCAGAATATGACAAGTTGGGGTTTTATTTGTTACAAATATTGCCTTTAGGATTTTCTCATTTGGATACTTGCTTTAACATGCTACATAAATAATTTAAGCTATATTTACTTTTTACTGTATACCAGTTATCTCATTAAACAAAGGGGGTGGCGGTTTAGCCTAGTTGTTAAAGCATTTACTTGTCAAGTCGAAGACTAGGGTTCGATTCCCCACAAGGGTAAAATGTGTGCAGCCAATTTCTTGTGTCCCGGTCCATGACATTGAAGGAATATTTCTAAAAGTGACATAAAACTAAACTCACTCACTGCTTTAACAAAGCCGACAACTGCACTTACTTGCCAGTCGATCTGAATATACAGCTAGCCAGGTCTCCATACGTCGCGAAGTGCTCGTACAGCTCATCTTTGTTGGTCTGTATACTCAAATTGGGCACATAAAGATAACAATTCTGGACTTTCTGCAACAAGAAAAGTCATGTATACAAAACGTAATGGCACAATCTATAGCCTGATGTCAGCATAAAATAAGTTTAATTTGTCCATTTTCACATAACTACCACCCTTTAAAACTTTTGTCAAAATGTTGAAATGATCAGAGATAATTTCAGACAATAGAACTGCAACTTCCTAAAATTGTTTTAACCTTTGAATTCAGCACAACAACCTTCACAAACACATCACTAGGAACTTTTTCTGCAAAACACACTGGGGAAACAATGCCTTGTGATGTCAGCCAGTTGCTGGGTTCATTGAGTGACCTCCTCTCTACATGCATTGTCATTGAATAAACCCAGCAATGTGGAAATTGTTCAATATTTGTTTACTGATTACAGCAGCAGAAGCACTTTAAAGAAAACACTTGTTTATGGAAGAATGTTTACTTTGAAACATTTTATTGTTTCAGTTTCAACCATATTCTTGTGTCCTCAGCTGTGATATTGATGGATATATTGTTAAAAGTGCAATTAAACCTTCATCAGTTACTCTTTCACTCTTTGAATAATGTTACATGAATAACTTTGCTATTTGTGAAAGCAGAACTGAGTCGTGTTTTCCTTGTATTGTAGATCCCCTGAAATAAGCCCAGAGGATGAATAGAGTGTGCATCCCCAACTAGAGTGGTATAAATCATGCAACAACAGCCTTCATCAACATCTAACATATTCATCTTTGTTCCATAACATCTGATCCCTAAGCTGCATAGCAAAGTCCTATGCCTTTAGTAGCTTAAAACACTTCCCTGGCCTAATGACCTTGACTATGGCAGCCTGATACTTCAGTCAAGAGGTATCCCTAAATAGTGGCAAAAGGAATTGTCATAAGTCTTGTTACAGATGTGCCTGAAATGTGTCTGAGAGGTACAGTTTGCAAATCTTTTAAAGTTAGAAAGACAGTAACATAAGACATAACTCATGTTGCCTAACAGAAAAACTCGAGAACTAATCCAAAATGACATCAAATTTCAGCCATGTGTCTTAGTGTGACCTCACATGACTTTGACCTCATGTGAAAGTCACCAAAAAGTTGTGCTGCTTGGCCCCACCCTATAGATCATAGATACAGTGGAAGAACAGATGTGTATTTGGCTTGAACATGGAAAGAGAACATTGAGAACATACCTGTTCAACAGCTGCCATTATGTCTGGATCTGGAAGGAAAAAGGTCACCATCTCAAACATCTCATATTATATTTGACTAATTATGAATTACATAACACAACCCGCCATGTCTGTATCCAGGCCAGGAACACAGGATCTCTCTGTATCACCATGACCCGCAAGCCAGACACGGGAGCTCTCTGTATTACCATGGCCTGCAAGCAAGGAACACAGGAGCTCTCTGTATCACCAAGGTCTGCAAGCCAGGAACACAGGAGCTCTCTGTATCACCAAGGTCTGCAAGCAAGGAACACAGGAGCTCTCTGTATCACCATGACTTGCAAGCCAGGAACACAGGAGCTCTCTGTATCACCATGACTTGCAAGCCAGGAACACAGGAGCTCTCTGTATCACCATGACCGCAAGCCAGGAACACAGGAGCTCTCTATATCACCATGACCTGCAAGCCAGGAACACAGCAGCTCTCTGTATCACCATGGCCTGCAAGCCAGGGACACAGGATATCTCTGTATTACCATGGCCTGCAAGCTAGACACATGACCTCTAAGTACCACCATGGCCTGCAAGCTAGACACATGACCTCTATGTACCACCATGGTCTGCAAGCTAGCAAAGAGGAGCTCTCCGTATCACCATGACCTACATGCCAGGAACACAGGAGCTCTCTGTATCATCATGGCCTGCAAGCCAAACACAGAAGCTCCCTGTATTAATATGTCCTGCAAGTCAGACCCACAGGACCTCTCTGTACCGCCATGGCCTGCAAGCCAGGCACAGTAGCACTATGTATTACCAAGGCCTGCAAGCCAGACACTCAGGAGTTTCCCTGTAGCAAACAGGAGAATGTTTAAATGCTAACCCCCAATGGGACCAACCTATCTCCATTCTCCAGATACCACAACCAGAATCGCATCAGTGTTTTCAGTCAGTGGTAAGGAAAACAAGTCACATGTGTTGGTACGTCAATGATTTAGAGTCCTGCTAATCCAAATATTCTGGATATAGAGCAAACAAAATAAATGTTACAATGATATCCTACCTCTTATAGCTTCCAGCAACTGCAAACAAAAACAGATGATGTGACAGTACATGATACTTATAAATTTGAACCAAACAACCCAGCTAAACCACAGGTCCTCGTGTCTTTGCGAAGATTAACGATTAAAAAATAGTTTTTTTAGATGACTCCCGACTCGAAATGTTACATAGTACTTTACATTATGACAAGGCCGGACACTTCGGTATACCCCAACCCAACATAATAATGAAATGATGATTGGCCTATCGAGCACCAATCATAAAACCTACCAATTCTTTATTGTTATTTGTTATTGTCGATTGAAACCCGATTTTGCTTTTTTAACATCTTTAAACCTCGCAAAGACACGAGGACCTGTGAGCTAAACACATTACCATAATAACTTGCAAAACACACATCATTTGTGAGTGAATGGTACAAGGTTCATACAGATAAGGACCTTATCATATAAGGCCTGTCCAGGCATACAGCTGTCATTTTCATGGCCTTGTGGGAAGGTGATTCTCAAGGCCTTTCTGATTTGACTCTAAAAACGAAGGCTTTTCAAGGGGGACCTTAAAATTAATGCATATTTAAACATGTATAAAACTCTTTGCTGTCTGTTCCATGAATGAATGAAAGCCATGTAATATGCTAAATCCTGAAGAATACCACTGTTCTTTTCATCCTCATCCTCCAGCCCAAATAGCTGGAATATTTCCAATGTTCCCCTTGATCACTGTACATCGTTTGATGTGCATTTTCATATGTGTGTTTTCCCATGATTGTTTTCATAAGTGGCTCTAATCAATCCTATCAAGTATATCCTATCCTTTTAGTTATACAAACACTCTGTACATTCGTTGCATAAACATACCACTTAATCCCTTTAACTATGTACATCTCAATCAAACACATCACTTAATCACTTTGAATACTGTAATAATATCTCACTGGCTTCCTATATATTCTGGGGCAGAGGGGTAGCCTAATGGTTAAAGCGTTGGCTCGTCACGCCGAAGACCCGGGTTCGAATCCCCACGTGGGTACAATGTGTGAAGCCCATTTCTGGTGTCCCCCGCCGTGATGTTGATTGAATATTGCTAAAAGCGGCGTAAAACCAAACTCAGTCAGTCAATCAGTCCTATACATTCTATATATTTTGCTTGTAACCATATTCTGTCATTCACCTGATGAAGAGGCAAGAAGTAGCTCAGAAACGTCGTGTTGTAAATATTAAAGAAGTTGTACATCTATACCATACGTGGTTAAGCTGGAATATTGCAGAGTGCCTCTTAAACAACAAACAAACAAACACAACTCTTAGAAGGCTGTATATACTCACAGCTCCGCTCTCCCTGTCTGACACACGTACAAAAACCCTCTGGTGTTTCATTGTGTGGGGCATTATCACAGCTTTCAGAGCATCTTCTTGTTCTTGGTAGCAAATAAAGCCGAAGTTATTGTTCCTGAAACAAAAGTGACACTGCTTTGAACAGAGTTTCTGAATGACAACTTAACAGGGTTCTTGGTAGCTACGAAGCCAAAGTTATTGTTCCTGAAACAAAAGTGACACTGCTTTGAACAGAGTTTCTGAATGACAACTTAACAGGGTTCTTGGTAGCAAACAAAGTCGAAGTTATTGTTCCTAGAACAAAAGTGACACTGCTTTGAACAGAGTTTCTGAATGACAACTTAACAGGGATCTTGGTAGCAAACAAAGCCGAAGTTATTGTTCCTAGAACAAAAGTGACACTGCTTTGAACAGAGTTTCTGACTGTCAACTTAACAGGGTTCTTGGTAGCAAACAAAGTCGAAGTTATTGTTCCTAGAACAAAAGTGACACTGCTTTGAACAGAGTTTCTGAATGGCAAACTTAACAGGGTTCTTGGTAGCCAGCAAACCCGAAGTTATTGTTCCTCAAACAAAAGTGACACTGCTTTGAACAGAGTTTCTGAATGGCAAACTTAACAGGGTTCTTGGTAGCAAACAATGCCGAAGTCATTGTTCCTCAAACAAAAGTGACACTGCTTTGAACAGAGTTTCTGAATGACAACTTAACAGGGATCTTGGTAGCAAACAATGCCGAAGTTATTGTTCCTCAAACAAAAGTGACACTGCTTTGAACAGTTTCTGAATGGCAAACTTAACAGGGTTCTTGGTAGCCAGCAAACCCGAAGTTATTGTTCCTCAAACAAAAGTGACACTGCTTTGAACAGAGTTTCTGAATGACAACTTAAAAGGGTTCTTGGTAGCAAACAAACCCGAAGTTATTGTTCCTCAAACAAAAGTGACACTGCTTTGAACAGAGTTTCTGAATGACAACTTAACAGGGTTCTTGGTAGCAAACAAACCCAAAGTTATTGTTCCTCAAACAAAAGTGACACTGCTTTGAACAGAGTTTCTGAATGGCAAACTTAACAGGGTTCTTGGTAGCAAACAATGCCGAAGTCATTGTTCCTCAAACAAAAGTGACACTGCTTTGAACAGAGTTTCTGAATGGCAAACTTAACAGGGTTCTTGGTAGCAAGCAATGCCGAAGTCATTGTTCCTCAAATAAAAGTGACACTGCTTTGAACAGAGTTCCTAGAACAAAAGTTAGCTGGGTTTTACACTGCTTTGAACAGAGTTTCGAACGACACCTTAACAGGGTTGAAGTGACTCAGACAGGGGGGCTGCTTAATAATTTGATTTTACTTAATTTTAACTAGAAATTGTATAGTCATCATACTTATCCTATATAATCTCACACATTTTTCTCTCTCTTATGTCCCACAGTTGAGTGGTAATGAGGGGGGAAATTGGGTTTAACGTCGTGCTTGAGAATATTTCGCTCATATGATGACGTGCATGCGTGTGTATGTGTATGTGCGGCTGCTTGTACTAGCCCAGACTGACGCTGGTTTTTATAGTGCTAGCCCACTGAGATACCATGCCGTAGTGAAGCATGAATACCCCACTCAGACACATTATACTGACTCCGAGCCGACCAGTCCTTGTTGTACCCATTAATGCCGGGCGCCAGGCAGGGACCAACAAGTACCATATTTTATCGTCTTTTGGTATGACGCGGTCAGGGATCGAACCCGCGACCTTCCGCTCTCCAGGCGGACGCTCTAACCACTACACCACGGAGGCGGTCGAGTGGTAATGAACTGAAACAAGAGTGAGTATGGTTTTCTGCCGCTTTTAGCAATATTCCAGCAACATCACGGCGGGGGACACCAGAACTGGGCTTCACACATTGTGCCCATGTGGTGAATCGAACTCGGGTCTTCGGCGTGACAAGCCAACGCTTTAACCATTAGGCTACCCCACCACCCCGTTTTGGGATGGAAGGACGGAGAGACGGAAGGATGGAAAGATGGAAGGACGTAAAGACGGAAGGACAGAATGAACACTATATACCCCTGTTATTTCGTAGCAGGGTTATAGTAACCCACTGTTCGCCCCCTGATGTTACAGTAGGGTCAATTGAACTGTTTTGACTTGAAAATTTGAAGAAAATTATACAATTAAGCAACTCATGTTTGTCATAAGAAGCCACCCATGGGATTGGGGTGATCCTCTATCAAGCAGACTACACAGATGGGGTGGTGGTGCACCAGCTTACCGTCTAACTTTTCCGCTGATTTTGCACAAGATGAGTTTCCCCCACATGGAGAAGTGCTCTGCATATTCTAATGGAGTGATGTCATCAGGTATGTTGGTCACAAACAGATGGTCCGCCTGCAACAGAGAAATTTATGCATCAAATTTCATTGATAATTAAAAGAAATAAACATAATCGTCATTCAACCTATACAAAACTAAATATTTACAATGTATGACTATGGATAATCCAAATTTTGAGAGAGAGAGAGCATTCTGTAAGAAAGAGTTAGCTACCCGTGAAGATCTGAGTTGGAATTGGTCTTCATCAACCCATGCTTGTCGTAAGAGACGACATGGGATTGGGTGGTCAGACTCACTGACTTGGTCGACACATGACATCATATAACAACTACATAGATCGATGCTTATGATATAGATCACTGGCTTGTCCAGACTCGGAAATTCACTGACTGCCACTACTTAGCGGGATACAGCAGAGTGCGGCGTTAAACAACAAACATGACAACAATGCTAAATCATCGCTATTTCTTCCAATTTCTCAGTGAGGTCCATTGCATCTTATTTACAACATCTATCACTAGAGGTGTGACATTACAGAAATTTCACTATATGATACATATCATGATAAGATACGATTAGATGCACATCACGGTATGCTATCTTTAGTTATTTGCTTTAAAAATTGTTAATTTTAACCATGAATTGTATATTTATATACTTATCCTATCTCTCGGTATGCACCTCTCACTTCTTCTTCGACCCATATGTGGAAATGTGCTGTAGACTAAGTTGAATCAAATCTTTCGGCCTCTGTACCACCAGTCACCTCTGCCCCGACTCCGACAGGATGATCTGTCAATCATCTCTATAAGCGTGCAGATCGCTCAGATGATCATGTGACGTCCCATTACTCTCATTCTCGTCTTGGAGCTTCAGTATCTGTGATGTGGGGCAGGTCAGGTGGGAATCCATCGCGTGAGATAGGATAAGTATATAAATATACAATTTAAGGTTAAAATTTCCAAACTTTTAAACTTATCCTATCTCACGGTATGCATTATCCCACGGTTGGCTGGTGGGCCGCAGATTACCCTGTGTCAACTCTACAACCGTGAGGTCGCAGAACACAAGGAGGCCTGGAGAAAGCACCAACTCCCAATATGCTAACTCCGAACTTGTGATGGGTTGCTTTTAAGTGATAACTCCTTGGCTTACACAGCACAAACACTCTAGGGAGTGGGCAGTCCTGAATTAATGTGGTTTTCAGCTGCAACTTTTGACAAGCTAAAGGACGCAGTTTGGCAAGTAGGGTGAGGTGATCTATGCCCAAATATATTCCATACCAACAAGAAAGCTAGGATCGATATCTTTCATTGATATAGAGAATGCAAGACCGACACGAAGGTAGGAACTGCATTTTATCTACGTTTGTGAGCCAACGACAACTGCTGCGAAAGAACCAATGGACACAGTTGGTGAAGACCTTCCACGTCAGTGACAGACGGATCCCGGAAGTAGCATGAGGCGAAGACAGTGTCCAGTCTCCAAAAACAACCCTCCATGATGGCGTGAATGGAACAGTTTCTGTGTGAGCGCCATCGTAGAGACCAAGGCTCTCGTCTCATGATGGTTGGCTGTAGTAGGAGGAGGAAGGTCAGGATAGGTGTAGGCACAAAGGTTGGTGGATTGTATCCAGAATGCCAGTGTGGTACGAGAGACCTCTGTAGATGAGGCAGTTGACAGAGGAATAAACAGTCTCTTGTGTAATCTATGACAGTTCTTGGAAGCAGCTAATAGACCCGTAAAGTCCGGACAGGACATAGGGAGAGATCCTCAGTGTCGTCAGGGCCCAGAATAGTAGACAGCGGCAGAAAGGAGAATAGTCTGTCCGGCTGTCCAGGCAACTGGTTTACGACGACGAAATCCCTCCTAAAATCAGGGAAGACTTTGGCAGAGTTTGAGGAAGAAAGTCTCAAACGTGACATGCTTGAAATCCTTCTCCGCTAGAGGTTTGTATTCCTCTGACGGGAGATGGTTAAGAACAACTGAAAGGTCCCAGGCTTGTGTCCGGAACTTCCGGGATGGATCAGCAACTTTGTAAGATCTGAGGAGAGACTGGAGCTCAGGCGCAATAACTGTGTTAAGCGCGCGGCCAGGTACGTAGACAAGTTAGAACCCTTCAATTTCTTTGAAGTTCTAGGATGCTAGAAGTACTCTGCGACCATCTGCGGTAATGCTGTAGTGGGAGATACAATACCTTTAGCCTTGCAGTATGCTTTAAAATTCCTCCATTGTCATCATAGAGTGACGTGGTGGAAGTTAAGTGTGCCATGGTAATCGACGTAGCGACTCGCTTGTAATATCCCTTTGCAGTTAGCGATTTATGTAAATGCACTGGGCGTGAGAACGTGAGCGGAGACCAATGCAGCTGATCGGAGTGAGGATGAACCAGAAGATCGGCACGATCGGGAAGTGGTGCTGGATTTGGATCAGCCAAGTCTTGCAGGTCTACGAACTGGCGAAAAAGGCGTGACCAAGCTCAGTGTCATCCGCTGCGTCAGGCGTAACTTGAGCAGTATGAGCGTCGTGTTCCCAGCCTAAGGATCGGGGATCGGGGGACACGAACATTGGAAGCTGGTGATTGAAGCGGGTAGCAAACAGATCCAGAGCATCTGCAATGACGTTCTTCACCCCTGGAATAAGATTGGCCTGGACCGTGATGTTGAGAGAGTCCACTAAGTGGAAAAACTGTTGTGTCCACTGAAGAAGCTGAGGCGACCCTGTGGATCCCATTCGATTGATGTGTTACATGACTGCAGCATTGTCCGATCGAATCAAAAGCTTGGTTGATTGTAACAGGTGTTGCCAATGAGTGATCGATAGAATCATTGCCCTGAACTCCAGAACCTTGATGTGGCACGTGAGGCCTGCGGAAGACCTGTGTAGATAGGAAGCCACCTGCTTATTGAAAAGTGAGAGGCGACCTGTGTAGAGAGGCGTCTACTTACAGGTGATGTACTGGAGCAAACGGCCTTAAAGTGACTCCACCGCAATCTATCAACTCGTCCAACCAAACCTGGAGAGGAGGATGGAGCACTGAAGGAAGAGACCCAGAAGTTTTCGCTACTGACGAAGAGTCTTGGGTTGCGAGAGCGCTAGGGGTACCATGGAGACTCAAGCACAGACATTCCGTTCATCGAGCCACCACTGAAGGACTCGACGAAGCGGTTCTGGAAGGCGAATCAATTCGTTCGGGTTCAGTTGTCGGCCTATAGAAAACACTGTATCGGCCGAAGCTGGAGATGGCCTCTGTACGTTAGGGCTTGAGCTGACGTCAGAAGGCCTAGCAACTATTGCCACTGAAGAAGGGATCTCTCCTGAGATAGGAAACATTCAATTAGCTGAGCTTCCATGACAGTACTGAAGAAGTGCTGAATGTAGTTGGTTCAGGGCATGAAGATTGTCAGTCAATCTACAGGAACGTTCACATTGTACACAGAGTGATGAAAGTAGCATCGGTGATAGCAAGTACGTATGGTTCGCCAATTGAAGTGTTGGTTCGCCAAATGAAGTGTTGGTTCGCCAGATGGAGTGAGAAAGCTAGTACATGCGATGCATGGGGATCATCAATCTACCGGAACATTCGTAAAGTTGATGGAATGGCAGAGGTAAAAAGAGACGAAGGTAGTAAAATCGATGTCTGTGGACGGTCCGGACATAGCTGCAGTGACCTCTGAACTGAGGGCTTAAGCTAATGTAGGAAACCAAATAACCCTAGCCAAAGTGAAAGCGTTCCCGGGCGATTCTGTCGGACACCCCCGGTAAACCGTTTCTCTCGGCTGGCTGACGAATCTCAACATAATCACTCTTACCAGGAATGTCACCGTTCATCATCACTGGCAATTAAAGGCTTGGATAGTTATCCACTTCGTGGGACCAAGACAAGTCTGTCAGGGCACTTCATAGTCACTCTAATCATCTCAAGTCTCTGGTAAACAAACAGTAGTCCGCCATTGCAAATGCTACCCACAATGCAATAGTGACAAAAATCCGGACAACACAGTCTTCGGTTGACCAGGCGAGTCCCAACCCATAAAATCCGGGCTAAGGGACGCTAGCTACTTGACAAAACAACACTGCTGGTACCATGCACAGAAACTTGACACATCTGTCCAGAAACTTGCTGAGGGTGTAAAAGGAAGGGTGATGAGGATGATAAAACACGATTACACCCAGCGATACACCATAACACTGCTACGAGTAGTCTGTAGCAACAGGACTCCTAAATATTCCTGAAATGCACAACTGGGTGGTTGTAGAGCTGATATCTATGTAAAGGGTAGATTTGTTGAATCGAATCATTCATGAAAGGTGAAGGTCAGAAGGTAAATGACGGAGGAATCTTGACGATCCGCCTTAATTTAGAGGCCTGCGTTACTGACTACTTCCTCTGTACAACCAGCAGAAACGATGCACTAACTGGAAACGCTGCACTGGATGTTAGCGTTGATACATAAGAGAGTGGCTTATTGGAGTAAAGCGGCACTCTGGATACGATCAGCGCAGTAGTAGAAAACAAGGAAGTGAATGAAAGCAGTGCAATTGGACAAAGCGGCACACTGGACTGAAAGCGGCGCATTGGTGTGTAGAGACGAGCCAATCAAAACCCAAGGTGCGCTCTGAAGTGCCGAACTGAATGAAAGCGCCGCAGTGGAGTGAACGCTCTGTCCGTACATAGACACCACAGAAGCAGGAAGCATAACCCAAAAGCCAAGCTGAGCACCGGTATAAACTGTAGGTATCAACGCCGAAGTTAGAAGGATTGTTGAAGGTAAACTCACAGTAGAAAAAGTCACTGTAGGTAACGTAGTTTGCGAACTAGCAAACAAAGTCATGATGACAGTAGGCGCATAGAGGTAATCAGATAATTCGGCAAATGCTGACAATTCAGCAAATACTGTCGGATCAGTGAGTTCTGTTGGAGCGGCGACCTGGTATGGTGCGGCGATCAAGATCGGTTCTGAGATCTAGGTTGGTTCGACAATCTGGATCGGATAGGTGATCTGGTTCGGTACTGTGATCCGGTTCGGTCGGGTGATCCGGTTCGGCTGCGTGATCTAGAGCGCTTAGTGAATTGGGACCGGTGCACTCGTCTAAAACACTGTACCATACAGTAATGGTGTACTGAACTGAAAAGGTGTTCTAATAAAAAAACAGTTCACTAGGTTGAATCGTTGTTCCAGTCGATACGGAACACTGGGCTGAAGTGTTGATCCAATCGAAAGCAGCGCACTGGGCTAATGAGTTGGACCGAGCGAGAGCGGTAAACTGAAGTGAAACGGTGCACTGGAATGAACACTCGACCCATACATAATCGGCGCACTAGAGCGTAACACCGAATGGAAGCAGTGCACTAGACAGAAACCACTGAACTAACAGGGATTGTTGAACTTGATATCATCACTGGAGTTGGAGGGATCGCCGTGGACAAGTTCGCACTACAATAAATCATTGTAGGTAAGTTAAAAGCCGATCCAGAAAATTAGAGACACATTGCCAGCATAGAACTGCCAATCGGGACTGTGACGGCAAAGTATGAAGTTCACTGCCCGAGTGGGGGGAGTCATCCTGTCCGGATACTAGACTCGAAGTCTGGGGTTGGAATAACTGACGTAATTCTCACTGAGGTAGGAATCCGTTGCTGCATCGAGAAATCTTCGTTAAGTGATGGTGATCGGCAAGCTGTTTAGCACGGATGATCTTGCTTTGAATGTTGAGATGATGATGGACCCTCAGAAAGCCTCCGACGATCCCTGTCTGCCACTACGTCTTGTGCCCATTCCACGATAACGGAGAACGCTTCATCGTCCAAATTGGCACAATAAAAGCAATGGTGAGGCCCATCACACCATCCAATACAATCAACACATACTGTGAGGATCAGCGGCAGAAAAAAATACCTCTGTAATTGTCACAGTGTTATCTCTACTGGGAAGATCGATTACTTTTCCCATGATGAAAAGAAGAGATGAGTGGCAGACAGAGAATAACACACGTCAACAGCAGTGGGCAACAAGAAAGTGATTGACAGCTAGGGGACGTTACATGATCATCTGAGCGATCTGCACGCTTATAGAGATGATTGACAAGTCATTCTATCGGAGTGGGGGCAGAGGTGACTGGTGGTACAGAGGCCGAAAGATTTGATTCAACTTAGCCTACAGCACGTTTCCACATATGGGTCAAAGAAGAAGAGAGAGGTGCATACCGTCAGGTGGGATAAGTTTAAAAAATAGTATATTTTGATAGCAAGTGAAAGTGTAAATTTTGAAATAACCGTGAATTTCTAGTGAAAATTAACAATTTTAAGGACAATGATACACATCACGATACGAAAATAAGAATTGATACATTTATCGACAGATAAAGTATCACAGTTATCGATACTACAATATATCATCACAGCTCTATCTATCACCATATATTACCATAGATAAGCCAACCCCCTAACTTGACCCTTAAAATCAGTGTCAAAATGGTATGTTTTGTACATAAGCCAATCACCCACGATGGGATCCTAATCACGGCACACACAGACCACAGACTACCGCCTCGTTTTCCATGGACTGCTAGTTTACAGTAACATCAGTAAAAATGCGTGAATTTAAATGGCTTGCTTATTTTACCCCATTCCATGTGCGTACAACTTCCGCTTACCACATTCATGAGGGTCCGTATAACCTTAGTGTTGATTATATAATTTACATTTATAGAGCAAAAACTAATTAAAATTACACAATACTAGGATATATTTCTTTGGGATAAATAATAGTATTCTGTATTATATTTTACAGATGACTGCATCAGAATTCATCCCATTATATTATTGTGCATGTTTGAACTTGATCGCCGGGAAACGTGTGCACAGCTGATTGTTATTTCCGGCTCAAATACACACGGTAATCTTAATCCCTGCAAATAATACAATGCCCAGCAAAAAACAACTTAGAACTTAAAAGGTAAACAATTTTGTCTAGTAATGTTTCATTGCAAATTTGACGTCTTTACTGACAAAGTCATCTTCTGTTGTTTGTTCATAGTAAGTGTAACCCATAGATAAGCCGACCCCCTTCTACAGACTGCTTTTTTGGGTCCTCCGCTTATCTATGTTATTGTGGCGAGTAAAACTGAGAAATTCAAGCCTTTAGTGGTAGTACACGTCATAATTTATATTCATCTTTAGAGGGATTAAAAAAGTCAAGTCACCTGTTTCAATCAGAGGAAGTTATGCTGCTCTTAATCCTCTTCTCGAACAATTTGAGCAAAATGTTTACTGAATTCATGGTTGAATATGTTTTTTTTGCTATACACTATCTCCCTGGTCTCCCTTTTTCACCGGCATTTTTTACATTTTAGTGGGACGATCTGTATCAAACCAACGTGATGTGTGTATTGAGCAGGTGCCCCACTAGACAGATACCAGTATCAAACAGAAGTGATGTGTGTATTGAGCAGGTGCCCCACTAAAGGGATACTTGACAGATGTTTGAGCACGTTGAAGAGAGAATTGAGAAAATACAAACTTGTTCAGGTCCATCACTTTCTTCTGGAACAAAGAAACAAATAGCTTTTACAACAAAATGGGGTTTTTTTTATAAAAATTATATATTAAACTTATTTAGGCTTCTCTCCCCTTTCTGCCTGAGGTACAGTGGAAACCTCTGTTTCTATGTTCCCAAGAACACGGGTCGGATTAACGTGAGATGGCTGTAGTTAAAACAGGGGGGCATGGACACTCAGTCGTTGGTTATGGAACAGTTACCGGACTCCAACGAATATGCACTATTATGAGTGGTATTAGTAGAACAGCAGTATTTTGCCTTTGGTTTGGTATACCGTAATGCAATCCCAAAATTTGGTATTTTCGGTTTTCGTACTATCATTTTATTAAGCTTTTTAAACCTTTTGTAAATTATCGGATCATCAATAAAACGACCTTCCTCCAGTTCATTTTATTTGATTAAATATAATCTCATTTTCATTCATTAAAACTGTTTATAGTAACATCGGAGAAAACGTGTGGCAATCGGCAACACCTCATTCGATACGCGTGTACCACTTCCACTTACCATGTTCCTGAGGGTCCATTTTTCGAACCTACCACGATAGCACCAATTTCAGCAATCACGAGCTGATTACCGCCTCGTCATCAATGGACCCCTTGTGAAGTCATATTTCACAATTTATTGTCAACATTTTGTTTTTTACAATCAAAGTTGCATGTACCGCAGGAAGTCAACAGTGACTTGTCCAACTGTCTCATACGTAAAATGTATCCAGCCACGTAACCCAAAGTGCCGAGTCTATAATAATTATTATGTTAAATATGTTCATAGAAAACATGCATTATACTAATATGATAGCAGTATATATTATGTCTGTTAATATAACTGCTTGAGATGTAAATTATTCTGGTAATGGGATAAAAATTCTTTGATGCTATATTTTCGGATCATTTTTAACTGAATCACCGGTAGATTGGAGAAAAAGATTTGTACACACCTGATTGCTATATCCAGCTTAGTTGAATAACAGGTAGCATAAAAGGTGCAACAATTGAATTATCATGTCTAATTATGTTTGATTGCAAGTTTCCTTTACACATATTTAGTTTCATTTACAAAGTTCGTTCTTTTACCTCCAAGTTTCCTTTACACAAATTTAGTTTCATTTACAAAGTTCGTTCTTTTACCTCCAAGTTTCCTTTACACAAATTTAGTTTCATTTACAAAGTTCATTTTTTTACCTCCAACGTTACGATACAATACCATATAGTTTTGATTGGGCACAAAACACGAAATAGCAGTTCTGTTATGTCTATGGAAAATACGAGTTCACTTAGCCATGGGTATGGATCTGGTGACTTTCCCATCACAGTTTTTAAGCCTAATGTTTGTTTGTTGTAGTACACAAAGATCTGAGCTTATCTCGTAACAAGCTATTTCAGAATAATGAACATTTAACGACCAATAAAAAGAGAAAGCAGCCTTCTCAAGCTAAAACATATTTGTTTCAAAAAGGAGAATTACATTTCAGAGTGGACTTTCAAAGATAGTTTGAATGAATCTGAAAACTGAATAAAAGAAATTTCTGGAATGTGCCAAGATTGTGTAGCTGTACTTCCCAGGGACCGTGGAAAGTCTCCAAATGTTTAACCGAATAAAACGAGAGATAGACAAAGATTTAGAACAATGATCAGTCACACAGACTGTAAATGTCTTATGACTGCTGCCTTGTGTTAATTTCTATAATTTATTTATCTGTGATATGTCATCAACAGAGCCACATTCGACAAAATCTGATTTGTGTGTGTCTTTTTTGAGGCATGAACTTTTCTGAGACATAGTGGTGATTTCATTGCAGTAAATGTTGATGTGATATTAGTGACTCTTAATGACAGTTTTGCTCATTCAAAATAACAAAGATTACGGTTATTTTTTCCATGTTATTAAGCAATGTAAGGTTTGGCTCTTTGTTGTTGATTTCCTGCAATATGATCATATCTCATATACAGAACCAAATTCGTTATGGCCAAGAGGGGAGCAGAAACTACATTTAGAACTCAAATTGCAGTTGGAAATGACGCAAGAAGAACAAGTACATCATGGGTCATGGTCAGTTTTCTGATTTACAGATAGAGCATGTTTTCGTGTGATCCAAAAAACTTTCACAAAGTCCGAAATATATGGCTAATTAATTACAAATTTTGAAAAATAATCCATGATTATGATGTACAAAGGATATATGAAGAAGATCCAAGCATTTAGTTTGATGGATGACTCATTATAAAAGAGGATTAGCTTGGATTGTTGAACAGAGGAATTTTCCTCCAAACCGTCCTGTTGGGCGAAAATGGAGAGAGGTCACGAGGACGCTGGTGCACATGGACGGGGGAGGCGCTTTCAGGTGAGATGGCCATGTGAATACAGAAACAGAGATTTCCACTGTACCTCAGGCAGAAAATGGAAAGAAGCAATAATATGAGTCAGGATAAGGAAAAATTATAAGTTTTTTTTTTGACACATTCATAATTATTTAACTCTGATACGTGAATAAACTAAAGAATCAGGGTACTGTTTCAAAAAGTGATTAAAGCATAATGACTGCATAGACCTGTGTTACAGAATAGAAATAACAATAACCAATATTTCATGTTAGCTTTGTAAAACAGGAACCAGATTGTCTACAGAGGGATAAGCATGTGATGAGGCCCAATTCTTACACACAGGGTGCCAAGAACCCAACCTTCTCATGTCTAGTACAAGTTATACAAGGGTTAAGGCCCAACCATAGTTGCTTCTTACAGACAGGGCGCTGGGCACCTAATCTACTCGTCTAGTACAATCTATACAAGTGTTGAGGCCCAACCATAGTCAACTCTTACACATGGCACCAGGAACCCAATCTCCTCATGTGTAGTACAAGTGTTAAGGCCCAACCATAGCCCTCTGTTACACACAGGCAAACTGTAGTGCAAATAGGGTTGCCCAACTGAGAGAAAAATGACCAATCTTCTTATATGTGAGCAACGCAAGCAAAGGTTCGTAACAAACTTACCTCATTTCAGTTCAAAAAATATTTTTTAATGTCAAAATAAATTATCACCACCATCAAAGGTAGACACCCATTTCCTCACAGGGTTGTGCTCTCAGATTTCCAACCTTATATTTAATAAATACTCACATAAAATGTTTTTGATTCAACATTTTAAGCCCCACTCGTCGCATGTTAAATCGTTCTTCACCTCCATTACCTCTGCCAGTTTTCGGTTCAACTACATTTGTGCTACAGTTTGCCTGTGCTTACAGATAGGGTGCTTGGAAACTAACTTCCCATGTCTGGTTCAAGATCAAACTTATCCATTATACTCATGAGGTGCAGGGAATCTCCTGACCCCTGACCTCCATTACCCCTGCCGGCTTCCGGTTCAACTACATTTGTGCTACAGTTTGCCTGTGCTTACAGATAGGGTGCTTGGAAACTAACTTCCCATGTCTGGTTCAAGATCAAACTTACCCATCACACTCATGGGGCGCAGGGAATCTCCTGACATGGCCTACTCACACTATATATGTGATGAGGCCCTATACAAGCCCTATACAAATCAATGTCTTCATGAAATCTTACCTTTTACAACACCCCTCAGCTGAAATCAAGAAAAGAATCATGTATTTGAACAAGCATTTAACATCAAACATAAACAATTTTGCAAACTAGTCCCAGGAATTCACAATTATTTTGGCTCGTTGGCACTCAAAAGAAACCCTGTCTCACAAATGGCCATGAAAGAATGGTTTGTCCCAGAATAGTGAGTGAGTGAGTATGGTTTTACGCCGCTTTTAGCAATATTCCAGCAATATCACGGCGGGGGACACCAGAAATGGGCTTCACACATTGTAACATGTGGGGAATCAAACCCGGGTCTTCGCCATGACGAGTGGACGCTTTAACCACTAGGCTACCCCACCACCACCCCCCACCCCCAGAATATGAAATACAAGCAGTAAGTGAATAGTTGCCTAGTGCAAAAACTATGTTAACTGTCATTTAAAAATGTTTAATATTCAATAGCAGATGACAACATTACTGTCCAATGTTATATATTACAGTGTTGGCTTTTATCCCATCTGGGTTGGCTACATTCCATTTTGCATATCTTGTTTTGATAAATAACATCCAAATTCATCAAATGACAATACATTAAAAATAATTCATAAATATTTGATTTTACTAAACACAAATAATAAATTGAGTTCATTATGGGATATGGTTCTTTCCATTGTGAATAAACTGCAACAGACCTAGTGACAGACCTCGTACACAGACATCGATGATAATCATATGAACTAAGATTCAAAACATGACATGGCTTCAGCTACTGTATTCAATATATTTAGCACCCTCTCAATAATAAATGCTCCCTAATTCTGAATTCAACATATTTAGCACCTCTCAATAATAAATGCTCCCTATTACTGAATTCAACATATTTAGCACCCTTCAAATGCTCCCTATTATGAATTCAACATATTAAGGCTTCTATTACTGTATTCAATATATTTAGCACCCTCTCAATAATAAATGCTCCCTAATTCTGAATTCAACATATTTAGCACCTCTCAATAATAAATGCTCCCTATTACTGAATTCAACATATTTAGCACCCTCTCAATAATAAATGCTCCCTATTACTGAATTCAACATATTTAGCACCCTCTCAATAATAAAGCTCCCTATTACTGTATTCAACATATTTAGCACCCTCTCAATAATAAATGCTCCCTATTACTGAATTCAACATATTTAGCACCCTCTCAATAATAAATGCTCCCTATTACTGAATTCAACATATTTAGCACCCTCTCAATAATAAATGCTCCCTATTACCGTATTCAACATATTTAGCACCCCCTCCCCAATAAGTGCTCCCTATTACTGTATTCAACATATTTAGCACCCCCTCTCTAATAAGTGCTCCCTATTACTGTATTCAACATATTTAGCACCCCCTCCCAAATAAGTGCTGCCTATTACTGTATTCAACATATTTAGCACCCCCTTCCCAATAAGTGCTCCCCATTACTGTTAACATATTTAGCACCCTCTCAATAATAAATGCTCCCTATTACTGAATTCAACATATTTAGCACCCTCTCAATAATAAATGCTCCCTATTACTGAATTCAATATATTTAGCACCCTCTCAATAATAAACGCTCCCTATTACTGTATTCAACATATTTAGCACCCTCTCAATAATAAATGCTCCCTATTACTGAATTCAACATATTTAGCACCCTCTCAATAATAAATGCTCCCTATTACTGAATTCAACATATTTAGCACCCTCTCAATAATAAATGCTCCCTATTACTGTATTCAACATATTTAGCACCCCCTCCCCAATAAGTGCTCCCTATTACTGTATTCAACATATTTAGCACCCCCTCTCTAATAAGTGCTCCCTATTACTGTATTCAACACATTTAGCACCCACTCCCAAATAAGTGCTGCCTATTACTGTATTCAACATATTTAGCACCCCCTCCCCAATAAGTGCACCCCATTACTGTATTCAACATATTTAGCACCCATCCCAAATAAGTGCTGCCTATTACTGTATTCAACATATTTAGCACCCCCTCACCAATAAGTGCTCCCTATTACTGTATTCAACATATTTAGCACCCCCTCTCTAATAAGTGCTCCCTATTACTGAATTCAACATATTTAGCACCCTCTCAATAATAAATGCTCCCTATTACTGAATTCAATATATTTAGCACCCTCTCAATAATAAACGTTCCCTATTACTGTATTCAACATATTTAGCACCCTCTCAATAATAAATGCTCCCTATTACTGAATTCAACATATTTAGCACCCTCTCAATAATAAATGCTCCCTATTACTGAATTCAACATATTTAGCACCCTCTCAATAATAAATGCTCCCTATTACTGTATTCAACATATTTAGCACCCCCTCCCCAATAAGTGATCCCTATTACTGTATTCAACATATTTAGCACCCCCTCTCTAATAAGTGCTCCCTATTACTGTATTCAACACATTTAGCACCCCCTCCCAAATAAGTGCTGCCTATTACTGTATTCAACATATTTAGCACCCCCTCCCCAATAAGTGCTCCCCATTACTGTATTCAACATATTTAGCACCCATCCCAAATAAGTGCTGCCTATTACTGTATTCAACATATTTAGCACCCCCTCACCAATAAGTGCTCCCTATTACTGTATTCAACATATTTAGCACCCCCTCTCTAATAAGTGCTCCCTATTACTGTATTCAACATATTTAGCACCCCCTTTCTAATAAGTGCTCCCTATTACTGTATTCAACATATTTAGCACCCCCTCCCAAATAAGTACTCCCTATTACTGTATTCAACATATTTAGCACCCCCTCTCTAATAAGTGCTCCCTATTACTGTATTCCACATATTTAGCACCCCCTCCCCAATAAGTGCTCCCTATTACTGTATTCAACATATTTAGCACCCTCTCAATAATAAATGCTCCCTATTACTGTATTCAACATATTTAGCACCCACTCAATAATAAATGCTCCCTATTACTGTATTCCACATATTTAGCACCCCCTCCCTAATAAGTGCTCCCTATTACTGTATTCAACATATTTAGCACCCACTCAATAATAAGTGCTCCCTATTACTGTATTCAACATATTTAGCACCCACTCAATAATAAATGCTCCCTATTACTGTATTCAACATATTTAGCACCCCCTCTCTAATAAGTGCTCCCTATTACTGTATTCAACATATTTAGCACCCACTCAATAATAAGTGCTCCCTATTACTGTATTCAACATATTTAGCACCCCCTCAATAATAAGTGCTCCCTATTACTGTATTCAACATATTTAGCACCCACTCAATAATAAATGCTCCCTATTACTGTATTCAACATATTTAGCACCCCCTCCCCAATAAGTGCTCCCTATTACTGTATTCAACATATTTAGCACCCCCTCCCTAATAAGTGCTCCCTATTACTGTATTCAACATATTTAGCACCCCCTCTCTAATAAGTGCTCCCTATTACTGTATTCAACATATTTAGCACCCATCCCCAATAAGTGCTCCCTATTACTGTATTCAACATATTTAGCACCCCCTTCCCAATAAGTGCTCCCTATTACTGTATTCAACATATTTAGCACCCCCTCCCTAATAAGTGCTCCCTATTACTGTATTCAACATATTTAGCACCCCTTCCAAAATAAGTGCTCCCTATTACTGTATTCCAACATATTTAGCACCCCCTCCCTAATAAGTGCTCCCTATTACTGTATTCAACATATTTAGCACCCCCTCTCTAATAAATGCTCCCTATTACTGCACTCAATAAGCCCTCCCTCCCAATAAGCCCTCCCTATTACAAATATGTAGCATGCTAAGTGCGCCTCCCCCAATTCATTAACATGTTGCTCAATTTAGTCATCATTTACGACAAGCAGTGGGGTACTAAGGATACATTGTACCATGGAACAGGGATGTTAGTCAATGTTTGAGCCACATAGCAATACCTGTTGATTGACTGTTCTGCGTGATTTTTAACCACTTCCTAATTAGTGCTGCTACCTTCCTGGAGTATCCTAATACCTGTCCCTTTTGGATTATAATTAGCTAAGACCCCATTGGGTACTAAACAACACAATAATATCAAACAAAGGAACTCACAGCCTTGCAGTTCACTGCCACAGATACATTAATCAGGCCTTTTCCATAATTGTGGGTTGTGTTCAGACATTTCACTGCATCTTCATAATTGGCGAAGGAAACAAAGCCATACTTAGCTTTTCTGGTCCTGAAAGATGTGTGAAAATGGGTTTACATTCAAGAAACAGCACTTATATAACCATGTTTATGAACATGTGTTTAAGGCTGCTAATACAAGTAAGAAACACTGGTTTTACAGTGCTTGCCCTCTGAGGAATCTGCAGTTCAACATGGATACTCCACTCAGACACAGCATACTCACTCTGAGCTGTCCTTGGTGTTTAATGCTGGGGATCAATAAGTACCATGCAGGGTATCAACAAGTACCAGTCAGGGTGTTCTGCCATCCCTACAGGGCCTCTCAGGGCCCCAACAGCCAAGAGCAGGTAACTCTAACGGTCAACCTCGACATTCAAGATGTCGAAATATCCTCCCCCCCGCCTAGTGTCTGTCCAATGTTTTGAAAGAGTATAGTATGGGGACTCGATAAAAACTTCCCACTTAACTATTAGCCCAGCTAGCGAAGCTTACTGAGGGAATTTCAACGATTGTAGCGAGCAATCGCCGAGTGTCTATCGAGTTGGTAATGACGGATGAACGTGCTCAGTCGGCTCCAAATAACCGCAAAGCAGATCTCCTCAATGGACAGCAGCCGTAGCACTCGCCTTAGAGGTGGCAACTGCCCTAACCGAATGACCTTTCAATCCCTCGAGCAAGATAAGCCTTGGTGTATATAACCCATACAAATGGCAGAGACAAGCCACCTTGATATGGTCTACTTGTTCCTTGGAGTGAGTGAGTGAGTTTAGTTTAAAGTCGCAATCAGCAATATTCCAGCTATATGGCAGCAATCTGTACTTAATCAAATTTTGGACCAGACAATCCAGTGATCAACAGCATGAGCATCAATCTGTGCAAGAGAGCCTGACCACCCGATCCTGTTAGTCGCCTCTTACGACAAGCATGGGTTAGTGAAGGCTCATTCTAACCCGGACCTTCATGGGTATAACTTGCTCCTTGGAAGACCTTTCCAATTGTTTATCCTTATGGACAGCCTTGAGAGTCATACAGACATCTAAGACGTGAGCACATGCAAGAGAGGTACCGGATGATGGAGGCTGTGATAGAGCTGGAAGTTTAATAGGCACCGTTAATAGGTGCTGTCAGTCTTAGGACAGTAAGAGTCTGGCAAGCAAATGCTGACCCTGTCCTTGTGAAAAACAGTTAGCTCAGGATCCGCTGACACTGCATGAATGTTCCCAACCCGTCTGCCAGATGTTACCGCCACAAGAAAAGCTGCCTTCCACATCAACAGCTGAAGAGAGAGAACCGACAGATTGTGAAACAGAGGACTGGGCAACCAATCAAGAACGATTGAAAAGTCCCATTGGGGACTAGTCCCTGGACAGCCTGACGGATCCTGTCCACACCTGCGAGAAAGTGCTGTACAAGAGGGTGCTGCCCCAGAAGTGCACCATCGACAGGTATATGACATGGTGAAACAGCTGTGGTGTAACCCCTAATGAGAAGCCAACCATGACTGAAAGAACATCCACACAGTGACTAGATCTGCAGAAAGGGGATCAAGAATCTGTGTGCTGACATACCAGCACGTATAGCAGGCCCTTTCTATCCTCTTACTGAACGTTTGTCGAATCCCTCTGCGAAGCCAGAATTGTGTCTGTAACTGGTTCTGGAATTCCGCTCGCTTGGAGGCAATTCTGGACAGTGGGATTTGGGTGGGGCCCTCTGTTCTGAGACAAAAGATCCGGTTGAAAGGGTAATAGTACAGGAGGCTGAACCAGAAACCTGAGAATTATCGGAAACCAGCATTGAGCGTTGGCTGGGTGGCAAGCTGCGATAGGACTCTGGGGATCAGTGGTATTGGTGGGGAGGCCCACAGTACCCTGTCCGTCCAATCAAGCTGGAAGGGGTTGGAGGCAATCGCCCTCAGATCCGTATCATAGAGCAAAAAACTGGTATCTGGTTTGTCACTCCAGAGGCAAAGAGATCCACCTGGGATGACATTCAGTATTTGCATCATTTCACTCATCATTAGAAGAATTCACTTGCAACGTCCTTCTCTCAGAATGACAGAATAAAAAGTGAGGTACGAGGTTGATGCTCTTCACTGTCCGGAGCCAGAGTGGCCCTGTAGGGGTGGCTGAACAAGGCAAAAACAAGTTTTTGTTTTGTAAATATGTTATTAGAAAATATAGTTACAAATGTCATAGGATTTTAAAATGGACATTTAATGCTTATAGGTACCCCAAGAAGGATCTCTTATGAGAAAGAACGTAATTTGGGGAAACTAGCTTCATATTAAAATAATAAAAAAATACTATTGCCAAAATCTAACAGTTGGCCTCCATGCAACCAAGTCAGCAAGTCTGATCTCTGGAACCTGTAAGTGGTTTTTAACACGAAATATGGTTCCTGGAGATTCCTTTTTTTAAATCCAACACTCAGTGTCTATATACGTTCCCTTTTATGTTGAGACATCTCACCTCCTAGCATTTTCTGCTACATCACAGTAGGTTATATTTCCCCATTGGGAGAAGTACTCGCACAGGTCCTCTTCAGATACTTCAAGAGGTATGTCAGCCACATACAACTTGTACTTTTCTAAATACTACAAGAGAGAACAAATGTCCATGGATAGTTTACATATGCAGTCAGGAGTTAATATTTATCGTTACAGTGATGAACAGATTCTGTTATTTTTTTTCAGATTAAAACTATCAGGACTTGTTCACTCACTGTTCAATGCCACACTCAGCAGTATTCCAGCTACACAAAAGCAGTTTGTAAATTAGTGAGTCTGGACCAAACAATCTAGTGACTGATATCATGAACACTGACCTCAACAATTAGGAAACAATGACATGCTAGTCACATATTCTGACCATCCATTCAAGTTGTCACCTCTTATTACAACACACTGTGTTAACTTTTTCTAGGTTGTATAATACATTCCAACTTTCACTTCCCCTAAGATCTTTGTTTTGTGCTACAGAGAGATCAGGTTTTAATGAGACTGGACAGTGTTTCAGTCATAACATAGCATCTAAGCTGGACACTGGTGGAAAGCTGAAGCTGTCAGTGAAATGACCACTTTGCTGAAACATGATCATGGCTGTGGTACTGACAAAGCAAACCTGACACCAATCAGATATTCCAAACACCTGACCCGCAGGCCCTTTCACTGTTTAGGAGGTAAATCTCAATGTTGAGGATAGTATTAGTCTTCCATGTACAAGAACGAATAAATACCATCTTTGTTTCACAGAAATACATACCCATTTAACATCAGGATTCGTTTTTGGATCTGAAACACATAAAGTTATTGTCAAGCAATTCTAGAAGTTGTTATCAATAGTCATTCCTAATTCAGTTGTTTGTTTACAGTATTTGAACCCACAACAAGGACAGTACATATCAAAGAAACCATGCCCCCATATTATTTCACTCATGAAATCGTTTTCAATTACATTTGCTTCAACCAAATTGCAAAATTGAGTGATTTCCCTTTACCAGATGCTTTTCAACATGTGTTGTATCAAGAGGATCTATCTGCAAATGTTGAAGCTTAAGTGCTGTTATGTTTTTCACATGTTCCATATTTACTTGACACATTGGACAACTCGAAGCTTTGTCTGTTTTGCTTGTCGTTTACCGCCAAACTCTGCAATTTTCTAGCTACAATATGCATCAACCACGTCAGCAAGCCTGACCACCTGATCCCATAATTTTTTAAATTCCAAAAATCACCAAATGGTACCAGTTCACCACTGGAATGATCCGTAGTTTCAAGAAGAAATATTCAACAGTTTATTAGTTCTGCTCTGGAAACAGGAAATGAATGGAAGGATGGTACAGCAGTTTTTAGGGTGGTATGTAGAATTCAGTATCCATCTGTCCATACATCCATGTTTCTTTTCCTTTTTCAACAAAGAAGATAAATAAAATTTCTTGTGTGAAAGCATTCCATATGTGAGTAATAAGTATTGTTTTACTTCATTAGACAAGATAGGTAAGTTCTCATATACTCCTGCATTTTCTCAAGATATTTTGGACAACTTACCAAATTCCCGATCATGCTGGAATAAGGAACAAAGTATATAATTAGAAATTTAAGTTTTGAGTGAGTGAATGAATGCTTTTAGCAATATTCTGGCAATATTCCAGCAGGGGAAAACCAGAAATTGGCTTCCCCTATTGTACTCGAATCAAACCCTGCTATTTGGCGTGACAAGCAAACAACTAGGCTACCCCACCATCCAAATTTCAGCTTTGACAAAAAAGAAAACCAGTAATCCCTTTGTAATTACATGTTGTCTAATGTCACTGTCACATTTTGGCAACCTGTCCTGGAAGTAACTGACTCCATACCAGACTGACATCCTGGGGAACAAGCCATGTTGTACAAATCAACCAACACCCTGAGTTTGACCATGTGATGTAACTCACCTCTTACAACAAGCAAAGGTTACAAGGTACCTACTTCATCCCCAAATCCCAAACAAATAGTTGTCACAGAAAATTGTGGTTAATAATTCCACGAATACTAAATCTTAATTTCAAGTCAACTCAAGAGAATGGTTAAAATAATCCCTTCTAGGATGTGAAGCAATTCTACTGATGAAAGAATAGGATTCAAAAGATTTGCTGTCCGCTACAATGTGATAACAAAAATGGTGTACTGATGTAATCGCCTCAATTATAAGAAGGGACAACAAGCATTCGACACTGGGGACTTCTTCTACAGAACCCCCAAGGAGACAGGCATGGAGGACTGGGGCCTGTTGTACACCACAACCCATAGGGAGACAAGAATGGAGGACTGGGGACCTGTTGTACACCACAACCCACAGGGAGACAAGCATGGAGGACTGGGGACCTGTTGTACACCACAACCCCCAGGGAGACAAGCATGGAGTACTTGGGACCTGTTGTAGACCACAACCCACTAGGAGACAAGCATGGAGTACTGGGGACCTGTTGTACACCACAACCCACTCGGAGACAAGCATGGAGTACTGGGGACCTGTTGTACACCACAACCCACAGGGAGACAAGCATGGAGGACTTGGGACCTGTTGTACACCACAACCAACAAGGAGACAAGCATGGAGGACTTGGGACCTGTTGTACACCACAACACACAGGGAGACATGCATGGAGTACTGGGGACCTGTTGTACACCACAACCCACAGGGAGACAAGCATGGAGGACTTGGGACCTGTTGTAGACCACAACCAACAGGGACACAAGCATGGAGGACTTGGGACCTGTTGTACACCACAACCCACAGGGACACAAGCATGGAGGACTTGGGACCTGTTCCACAGACCACAACCCACAGGGACACAAGCATGGAGGACTTGGGACCTGTTGTACACCACAACCCACAGGGAGACAAGCATGGAGTACTGGGAACTGTTGTAGACCACAACCTACAGGAAGACAAGCAAGGAGGACTGGGGACCTGTTGTAGACCACAACCCACAGGGAGACATGCATGGAGTACTGGGGACCTGTTGTACACCACAACCCACAGGGAGACAAGCATGGAGGACTGGGGACCTGTTGTACACCACAACCCACAGGGAGACAAGCATGGAGGACTGGGGACCTGTTGTACACCACAACCCCCAGGGAGACAAGCATGGAGTACTTGGGACCTGTTGTAGACCACAACCCACTAGGAGACAAGCATGGAGTACTGGGGACCTGTTGTACACCACAACCCACACGGAGACAAGCATGGAGTACTGGGGACCTGTTGTACACCACAACCCACAGGGAGACAAGCATGGAGGACTTGGGACCTGTTGTACACCACAACCAACAAGGAGACAAGCATGGAGGACTTGGGACCTGTTGTACACCACAACACACAGGGAGACATGCATGGAGTACTGGGGACCTGTTGTACACCACAACCCACAGGGAGACAAGCATGGAGGACTTGGGACCTGTTGTAGACCACAACCAACAGGGACACAAGCATGGAGGACTTGGGACCTGTTGTACACCACAACCCACAGGGACACAAGCATGGAGGACTTGGGACCTGTTGTAGACCACAACCCACAGGGACACAAGCATGGAGGACTTGGGACCTGTTGTACACCACAACCCACAGGGAGACAAGCATGGAGTACTGGGAACTGTTGTAGACCACAACCTACAGGAAGACAAGCAAGGAGGACTGGGGACCTGTTGTAGACCACAACCCACAGGGAGACATGCATGGAGTACTGGGGACCTGTTGTACACCACAACCCACAGGGAGACAAGCATGGAGGACTGGGGACCTGTTGGACACCACAACATACAGGGAGACACGTAAGGAGGACTGGGGACCTGTTGTAGACACAACCCACAGGGAGACATGCATGGAGGACTGGGGACCTGTTGTAGACCACAACCCACAGGGAGACATGCATGGAGGACTGGGGACCTGTTGTACACCACAACCCACAGGGAGACAAGCATGGAGGACTGGGGACCTGTTGTACACAACCCACTGGGAGACAAGCATGGAGGACTGGGGACCTGTTGTACACCACAACCCACAGGGAGACAAGCATGGAGGACTGGGGACCTGTTGGACACCACAACCTACAGGGAGACAAGCATGGAGGACTGGGGACCTGTTGTAGACCACAACCTACAGGAAGACAAGCAAGGAGGACTGGGGACCTGTTGTAGACCACAACCCACAGGGAGACATGCATGGAGGACTGGGGACCTGTTGTACACCACAACCAACAGGGAGACAAGCATGAAGGACTGGAGACCTGTTGTACACCACAACCTACAGGGAGACAAACCATGACATCTACTTGATAGCACAAGTTTATTTAAACTCACCGAGATAATAATCCGCTTCTTGTGGATGAAGTGTGGTCGAGCAGAGAGAGCAGCCATAGCAGCCTCTTCGTTGACATACTGCACAATGCCTGTTCCTGTGGACCTGAATTATAATGTCAGGTGTTTTATGTGACCAAGCTGCAGGCCGCTAAAATCTCAAATCTGCACACACACTAAAACCTGATGTAGCAGACAGTGTTTACTATGGTCCTATTTTAACCCCAAAATCAAGTTTCATTTTCTGCCACATGACACAAATATGCAAAAAAAAAATACAGAATTGGAAACTGTATCATTTTACTATCTTCCTGATCTTACACTTTTTATAAATAAATACATATTACTCATGAGTCTACTTCTGTTTTCATTTTAACCACCAAGTAAAGATAGTATGATACTGCATGGAAACAAACTGACAAAAAAAGAAAGTCTGGAAATTTTAACTATAATTTGTATATTTATATCCTATCTCACATTTTGTACTTTCTCTCACTCTTCAAGTCGACCCACTGTGTGGAAATGAAACTGTAAACCCAAACTAGGCCTCTCTTGTCCTTTCACCCACACACTCCATGCTGCTCCCCCTATAGGACAATACCTGTGACTCCAGAGAAGCATGCAGCACGCTCTACTACCTGCTCATGTGACAACCCATCTCTCATCATTCTCAATCTTGGAGCAAAGTCGTAATCAAGGTAATGGGGAGGCCGGGCAGGCATCCATTGCATGAGGTGTGATAAGTATATAAATATACAATTTATAGTTAAAATTTCCATATTTTAAAACTTATCCTATCTCACATACTTATCCCACAGTTGGACATCACAGTAGTGACGCACAAGTGAGGCCTGTTACGAATCCGAAGATTCCATAACTCCCATGCTTGTGATGGGTTAATCCACAGAACCCCTCAGCGTACTAAGCACAAAACTCTCAGGGAGATGGGCGCTCCCAAGTAATGTGGTTTTCTGCCACAACTAAGAATGAAAGAACGCAACCCAGCAAATAAACCCCACCTCGCCACAATTTACAGAAAGCCCCAGTGAATTAAGATCTCTCGATCTTGATATGACCAGCCCCTGCTTTGAGACCGCCCTCGCAGAAACCGTCGATACGAGGGTAGAAGGGGAAAGCTCTCTATGTTAACGTTCAGTTATGAACGACATCGAATGACCCTCGCTCAGCAACTTAGGAGCAGAACACATTGAAATCCACTGGAATTCAGTAATTCACACTTCACTGACGTAATTGCGCCGATGAGTAGAGGTCAGTAAGAATGAGTGGTGATCACCTCTGCATCTTAGTACGAAGTATGCCTCAGTGTGTATGACGAAACCAAGACCGTCGGCTGTACTGAATGCCCTACTGATGAACCAGGTGAGTAAGATCTAAGCATTTAGGCCCATAAAGTAGAACAAAGGATGAAGTTGGATTCAGACTTGTACAAGGAAGCAGTGAACCACGTGGGGTACAAGTTTTTTTTCTATAGGCGTTGGTGGGTCGAGGACAGGGGAGGTAGAGGAAGAGGAGGAGAGAGAGAGGGGAGATGGTGAACTGGTAACTGGTTCTTACCAACAAAGCCAAAATGAAAACCCAGCTTCTTCGGCTCGAACTTCACAGGATTGACATCTAACGCATTAAGTTCAGATATACTAGCCATAGTAGCCTAAGCGGCAATGAAGAAGGTCTTAAAAGTGATGCACTCAAACTCTTTCTCGTGCAGTGGTTCGTAATCACTGGAGACAAGAGGACGAGAGGTCCCAAAGCAGAGGCCGGAACTTCTTCGATTGGTCAGTCAATCTGTAAATCCGAAGATAAAGTTGGGCCAAGACTAGCTCTGCTAACAGTAGAAGTAGGACGATTCAACGAATTAGAGTGATCCCTGGAGCATGGTCGATCTGACGAATGAGAACGGTCCTGGGAAGATGTACGATAATATGCAATGGCCAGAGCAAAGGACGAAGTTGGAAGATTCATTGAATTGATGACCCCAGAGGTAACAGCCGGGACATCAAGCTGAGGAACTGACAAGACAGGTTGATACGACGAATGTCTGGAAAGGGTGGATTCATCAAAGCTACAGCCGGAGTTGACATAGGGACGTTCTCGGAATCTTAATGCGGCGAACTGGATAGCGACCAGGGTGAACGAGAGCTGGACAAAGAGGCCCTGTAGACAACTCCTTGGGGTTCGCCGAATAGTCTACTACCAGTACCCGAGAGGGAACAGTCCAATGAGGTGAATGATCAGATCACCCAGTTGACCCAACAGATGACGCAAGGTAGGAATCAGATGACGCTTCTAGGAAATCCTCCTGTTCCGAAACAGGGGTGACCAAACGACGGTGATCTTGACAGGGCGATCTTTCTTAGCCTTCTCGGCAGACCAAAGTGTTTATACTACTCACAATCGTGATCCAAAGAACATAAACCAATGCAGTCAAACAAGTGGTGTGCCTGTCTGATGTGGAAAACATGTTCTTTCATTAGTTGCAAAATTTCCTCTTCTTAGGGACCGTTCATAATTTATTGCTAGGATGATGATTTTTATGGAGAAGCATGTATAATGTGAATGACCCCCCCTAACATTTATGTAAAAAAAAATACCCCCCTGCATGTCATGCACAAAATCAAGACCCCCCCATCCCCGTCCCATAATTTCTAAGCATGATTTTAAACATATTTTTATGTACAAAATTGCTGACCCCACCTAGTACGCGTGTACAAAATTGCTGACCCCACCTAGTATGTGTGTACAAAATTGCTGACCGCCCCTAGATCCCAAGAACAAAATGGGTGAATCCCCCTTAAAATCATCAGCACACACCCCCCTAGCCATAAATTATGAACAGTCCCTTAGAAGATGAATCCAAGTTCCCCATGATGAAAAAAAGGGACGTCAGGAAAAGTTCTAGGCTTAAAAGACAAGAAACAGAATAATGAGAGATGGGTGGTCACATGAGCAGGTAGTGGAGCATGCTGCATGCTTCTAAGGAGTAACAGGAACTGTCCTATAAGGGGAGCAGTATGGGGCGCACAGGCGAATGGACAAGAGAGGCCAAGCTTGGGTTTTACAGTTTCGTTTCCACTCAGTGGGTCGAATTGAAGAGAGAGAGTACAAGACATGAGATAGGACAAGAATAAAAAAAATGTATGGTTTGGAAAGCATCCTGACCCTAATATGGAGGGTGTAAGAGGCAAAATACTACATAAACATGATAAACAGGAAAAATAGAGTAAAGCTGACCACAATTCCAATTTAGTTTACAGTTAATTTAGTTTTGCACCACTTTCAGCAATTTTCCAGCAATATCAAGGCGCTTGACAATAGAAATTGGCTTCACACATTGTACCCATATGGGGAATCAAACTGTGTTTTCGACATAACAAGTGAATGGTTTAACCACTGGGCTATCCCATCATCCCATCCCAGCCTAGCATACTAGACATAATACCAAAAAAGCATCATTAACTCCAAAGTCATTCTGATTAACATCACCACAAGTAAGGGGTGAGTGCATGAGTATGGTTTTATGGAGCTTTTAGCAATATTCCAGCACAGTTGGTTACACCAGAAATGGGCTTCTAACTCAAGTCTTCAGCGTGACGAACAAACGATGACGAACTAACCCCCAGCTTTCCCCTTGGCCCCAACACAGGTAAAGAAGTCTTGTCATTTTATTAGAAATTTGAAAGTAGACAACGTGCGCAATGGTCTCCAGCCCACATGCCAATGTCTAGCAAAGTTTCCATCATGATCTACATAACCAACTGATTTTGCAAGATCACAGTTACACCTGTCAAAGTGTTTATAATATCTAGGTCTTGATTAGCAGTTTGAATTGTCTTTATTGCAACATAATCAAAATCAGATTCCTGGCAAAGAATTCTGTCATATTTTTCATCTTGTGAAACTGGAAAATGGCCTGTAACTTTAAAAGTAAGAAAGTTCTCTGTTACTATTTCACAGATTTAATGCAGATTTCAGAGTGAATTGTCATGTAGTCTTTTTCTACTCACTGTCCTTCATCGTCATTGAATACATGGCACTTCGTCAGGTCCCCAAACATTACAAAGTACTTGAACAGGTCAGATGTTGTCGTCTTCAGCTTCAGGTTGAAGACAAAATACGTCCTTGACCTATCAGCTGCATCAGTCTACAGCAAATGAATGGATAGAAAGATGGATGAATAGATGAATGGGTGGAAGGATTGTTAGTTTGTTTGTTGTTTAACGCCGCACTCAGCAATATGGCGGCAGTTTGTAAAGAAATCAAGTCTGGACCAGACAATTTAGTGATCAACATGATGAGCATCAATCAAAGCAATTGGGATATGATGACATGTTATCAACCAAGTCAGCAAGCCTGACCACCCGCCCCCGTTAGTCGCCTCTAACGACAAGCATGGGTTGCTACAGACCAATTCTAACCTGGATCCTCATGGGTTTTACTGGTATGTGGACAACAGTGGTATGTAACATATATACCATGGTAAGAGAAAAATGATATAGGAATACTGACTGACTGTCTGAGTTTAGTTTTACGCCGCTTTTAGCAATATTCCAGCAATATCACGGCGGGGGACACCAGAAATGGGCTTCACACATTGTGCCCATGTGGGGAATCGAACCTGGGTCTTCGGCGTGACGAGCCAACGCTTGAACCACTAGGCTACCCCGCCGCCCCCGATATAGGAATAGGAGGAATCAGTAACAGCATGAAAATGCTGAGTGTGCATTCTTTCATGTCACTTTTAGCAATACCTGCAATACAAAAGCAGGTTCAACCTCTCAGAAACAACCCCATACGCTAAACATGAGAACTCACCGTGCCACACATCCAGTCGGCATCCTGACCCTTGATAGGTGAACCTCTGCAACAAACATCAAGATTGAAGATGACATTGTGTTTACAACAATGTTACATGTTCTGTAGTGGCTTGACACCACAGTAATAAACATCACAAACAATAACATCAATACTACAGCTTCATAATACAACAGTATCCCACATGAAAAAACGCTGACAGACAACACCTACCCCGTTTCAAAACGTGACCTCTTGGCATCCGGAACACCAGTAAAATCTTCCCCTGAGGACTGTGCCGGACGTTTAAAAGTGTCACCACCACCTGGCATGACTTTGGACATTGGCGTCATGACGTGTGGATCTGTCTCAATATGGCTATACCGTTCATCAGTGTTTCCAGGTACCCATCCCCTTTCTTCATCAGCAAAATCTTCCCCTGAGGACTGTGCCGGACGGTTAAAAGCCTCACTACCACCTGGCATGACTTTTGGCACTGGCGTCGTGATGTGGGGATCTGTCTCAATATGGCTATACTGAACATCAGTGTTTCCAGGTACCCATGCCCTTTCTTCATCAGTAAAATCTTTCCCTGAGGACTGTGCCGGCCGCTTAAAAGCCTCACTACCACCTGGCATGACTTGGGACATTGGCGCCGTAACGAAGGGACCGGTCTCACTCTGGCTATTCTGTTCATCAGTGTTTCCAGGTGCCCATGCCCTTCCTTCATCATAACCTCCTGGCCACTGACCTTGGGGATAGCCTTGATAGCCTGACATGACAGTGCAGTGTCATATATCCTTGGGTGTCTGAAACGGTCAGATAATTCTTCATTTACTTCTTTTATATAAGGATTGTTAATTCAAGAAAATTATCACAAACATATCTTGTATGTAGCAGATAACATAATAATATAATGATGCCAACTGAATTTCACAATATGAAATGAATGGCAGTTATACCAAGCCACCCTCTAAATTCAACAGCATTTATTCTAAGACTTCATAATAATATCAGCTCCTTCAATATCAGCTGTAGTGTCTTCGCGATGGTCCCATCTTGTTTTTAAAAAACCCATAATGGTCTGGTACTTTCAATAACAATACGGAATTGTATCCTGCAGTAAAAAGTGAGGTCTAAATTAGACTGACTGACTGAGTTTGGTTTTACGCCGCTTTTAGCAATATTCCAGCATCACGGTGGGGGACACCAGAAATGGGCTTCACACATTGTGCCCATGTGTGGATTCGAACCCGGGTCTTCGGCGTGACGAGCCAACGCTTTAACCATTAGAAATTAGAATGGTCAGACTTATGGTTTGTAGTCCCCAGTCTTTGCATTCATTGAGGTAGGTTTTCCTTTCTGGAGTGCCCAAGTGATGTAACTTGGCACAGTGAACAGTGATATTTGGGCAACCTGTGCCCATAGTGGCATATGGAAAACAGTTTAAAAGAAATGTATAGGGGCAGAAACTTAGTGGTACACATGTATCTATATCTACTTCAGATCATGCTGATTTCAACTAAGACTAAGGTGTTTGTTGTGAAAGTGTTGAACAGTCAGATTCAACAGAGGAATAGGCCTGTATCAAGGGGTAAATATTTTTATACATCATATGTTTTCAGACAGTAGCTATAAGATGGAGTGTTCCATTAAGCAGACATCATAAATGCTAATTGTTTTAAGATTAAGTTGTCTTTCATAAGATAAGGACATTGTTTTTGTTGTACATGTGATCAGAGAGAAAACAATGGATGAAATCCCATAAAACGGGGATACAGTAAATTCCAGTGTTAACAATAATATTTCAAAAAGTTTAACAAAGATTATTTTTCAGGTTCAAAATAACTGTCGAGTTGGATATTGCAACTTAAACGGTCTTCAATAATGCTCGACTTAAAAGGCTGGTTCCAGCTTGGCCGGTGAGCAGACTTCAACATATTCAATGGGGGGGTTCTATACAAAAATGTCAGGTAAAAGTTCCTCCCGTTCCCCCATCCCAAATAATATGTATAAATATTCTAGAATTATAAACAAAAGTTAACACAACAATTACTAAAGAACTCACAAACGATTAAAAGTCCTTTAAGTTAGGGCTAGGTTTAGGGTTAGGTTTAGAGTTTGGTTTAGAGTTGGGGGAACGGAAGGAACTCTTTCCAAATGTCAATATTAATTTGGCTCACCAAAACATGAACAAATCCCCTTTCTATAAAATTCTCGCGTGTATTCTACGTCGGCTGCGTGCAAACCGGAAGTACTAAATGTACACGGTATAAGCTGGGCCCCGTCTCGCATATCTCAAAATTCGCAAGTTAGCGGGCGCAATGGGAGCATTGAACCAGCTTACACACAAAGAAGCTCCTGATCAGTGTTTGCAATACTTTGATGTGCCAGTTTACCATTAGAGCCTGCTGCCGCCTGCAGGTTTTCAAATCTACAGGCCTTGAATGAAAGCTGCATGCCCATTTTGTTTAAGTCAAACCAATAAAAACAAAATAGACTACACTGTACACAATTTTACACTGTTTCCACAAAATCATTAGCGAAGCCTATGGCGCCGAGAGAAGTTTTAATATGTTACATATTCCTAAGCTGGGCCCCGTCTCGCATATCGCAATATACGAGCTTTGTCGAACGTTAGCGACATAGCAGTGTAACGAATAATACTGAGCCTAAGTTTACTTAGATTGATTCTGACCTGAACCTGAGGAAATCTAGACTTGTTTTATTTAGAGCTTTAATTATTAATTAGCATTGCAAGGAGGGCTTGGCAGTTGGGAAATAAGACACATAAAATCCACAAAACATTGCATAAATATAATATACAGTACAACCAGAAATTATTGAGAATTTAAAGATTGTAAATTTTATATTTTTTTTCACTCATTACACACGTATTAAATGTGAATATTTGCAGAACATAACTCCAGATTCAAAGACAGGTGAACAGTTAGTATTTTGTCAAGTCACCATGGGCAGCAATGCAGGCTTCAACGCGGCGGGGCATACTACTGATCAAAGAAGTTAGAAAGTCGTGGTCCATGCTGTCCCAATATCGGACCACCTCTTCTGTCATTTCAGCAATATTTGTCAGATTTAAGTCCCCAAACATTTTCTATTGGATTTAGGTCAGGGCTATAGCTTGGCCAATCTAATAATGTCATATTTTGGGTCTGAAACCAGGCCTGTGAATGCTTTGAACGATGTTTTGGATCGTTGTCCTGCTGGAAAATCCAAAAATTTCCATAGAACACGTGAGCAGATGGAAGTAAATGTCCCTCGAGAATATCTGTGTACCGCTCACTGTTCATATTCCCTTCAAATACAAAGAGGGGCGTTGCCCCTAACACAGATATGCCACCCCAAACGTTAAATTTCGGTCTGTACTTTGGGCGCTGATATAAAGGTCTTTAAGTTTGTTTGGTCCAGAATTTCAGTGTATTAAGAAACAGCCACACAGAACTTTCATCTGAGAAAATCACATTGTCCCAGTTAAAATGTCTATGCTGTAAGCACCAGTTCAACCTTCACTCCTTTGTTCAGGTTTCATGATCACTGATGGAATTCCTCGACTTTTCTGCCAACCCATTGCATGCAGCTCAGTTCTAATTGTCTCCTTACAGACAGCCACAGTTCCTCTATCAATCATATCCATAATGCAGCCTTAAGTTTTCTAAACTCCTTCGTTTGTATTTAGAAACAAGAATAGCAAGCCGCCTCCTGTCACCGACAGTCAATTTTCTGGGCCTACCTGCGCCTCCCTGGTGCTCAATGCCATATCCATTTGCAATATTTTTCAAAACACGATAAACAGTGGACAAAGGGATGCCTGTTCTACTGGAAATCACTTTTGCTGATCTGATGTCCTTGTTATATTACTCTAAAATCAACTTCCTCTTGTCTAAATCATCCATACTGAGGATCACTGAAAATGTCGTCTGCTAGCAAAGGGGGAAAACTCTTCACAAACTAATGAAAAAAGGATTAACGGAGTTGTCTCTCTTGAATGAAACCAAGCACTTAATAGCTGGTCAAGGTTGTTTATACTAGAAATCCAATTAAACATATTCCTAAAATTCTCAATAATTTCTGGTCTTACTATTTCTCCATACACACATAGTAAAACTTGGGTGGGTGGTGTAATATCGTACGTTATAATGATTTTCTTTTAAACATAAGTAACACTGAAACAGCTAAGGGGTGTACTAGGTTATCACATTCCATAATAAAAATGGTCTAATCGACAGGAGTCATCAAGCTAAACAGAGGGTTAAGAGAAGGTGCCTTTTGCTATAAAACTGACGTTATATCCGAATATATACTACATATCGATAGAAAATGGACCTCGTCTTCAACTGCACTATTCTTACAATATTTACATAGTCGTTGTTCATGACGGGTTTTAGGTCGTGAAAAACGACCATAATAATAATATGGTTGATGGACTGAGAAACAGACTAGTTAGAGCGGGGCCTCCGGGCTGGTGATTATTTCGAGCGCTGCTCCTGATACGGAAATATGACTATTGCTGTGGATGAATGTGTAGTTCTGTTTAAGAAGGTGTACACAAAACTGAAAAGACAATCTAATTTGTGGTATATCTCCCAGTCATCTATTTCTCCGCTTCAAGTGACTTCCAATCATCCGTACCTGCCAGCTGCATATAGTTTTAACTTGAGCTCAGGAAGCGCTTTGAGCATATCCCTGTGACGTGGAAAGGCGCTATATAAATGGCCTATTATTATTATTATTATAAGTTGTTTTTTCTTCAGTTAATTCAATTACGAAAATCAATACCATTTATTAAAAAATGGAATACGTTGGACAATATGACATTATTATTGATTACACAATGCCGTATAGAAAGTAGTCAAATGTAACATTTGACAGACAGACAGTTTTATTCAGTAAGAGGCCACTGGCTCATAATACAGTCAAATGCATGATCACACATCACATGAATGGTACACAATGATTTATAAAAATGTTCTGCTCTTAATTCTAATTTGTACATAATATAAAAATAAAGAAACATTCTTAATCATATCGACATTTGCAGATTGCATAATATGTATAAAGTTGTTTATCGTCGGAGGCTGACTTAAATATTTCACAATATATTTCTCTCGAATATCAGAGAAACATTCACAAATATACAAAATATGCCACTCATCTTCAACAACATTAATACCTTTGGATTTACAAAATAAACAAAATCTTTCATTAGAAGCAATATTTTCATATCTCCCAGTCTCTATTGCTAAATTAAAGTTTCCACATCTAAATTTTGAAAGGGCAGATCTCAAATTTAAATAAATATTACAATTTAAGTATTTTTCTACATCTAACAGAGTCTTATACTGACAATAATAAACAGTTTTATGTGATTTTCAATGGAAGAATACCAGGATTGCTTTAAATTATCGGTCAGTCTTTGTTTAAAAAGAAACATAAAATACTTAACATTACCAATATCCTGACTGACCCATGCATAGTCAAAACCATTAGTAAATAAAATATGTTTAACATTAGTTGCCCAAGTTACACGTCCAACATCATCTAATGATTTCAGCATCTTGTAACAGTGTTTTGGGAGTCTGTTTGAGGGTAAGTACAATAAATGACACCAATATTTGATAACCTTAGTCATATATACAATTTGTAAAGGGAGTCTATCACATTCTCCAAGTACCACATTATTACAAGTTGATTTACCAACTTTTAAGAAATACTTACAAAATTTAATTTGTACAGACTCTATGAGTTTACAATAACTGGTGCCCCAAACTTCAGCTCCATAACATAATATAGGTGAGATCATACAATCAAATATTTTAAACAAATCTTTACAATTGACACCACCCATTTTTCTTTGGAAGTTATTTACAGAAAATAATGCCTTATTGGCCTGAGAAACAAGACATGTCTGGGCTTTACGCCTTACACGGTTTGGTGTAAATACAAGTCCTAAATATTTATAAAAAGATACAGATTCAATTTGTTTACCATTGTAACACTATTTTTCATAATCTCTTGGAGGCCCACCATTTCTAAAAACAAGAATCTTAGTCTTTTTAAGATTTACTGACATACCAGTGAGTTTACAAAATTTCTCAAAAACATTAATCTTTTTCTGTAATTGGTTTACATGTATCAGACAGTGCCGAGACATCATCAGCAAACATAAGTAAACATACATTATTAAAATCTGATGAAACAGTTACACCTGAACCACCCTCCAATTCCATTAAAGTACATAACTTGTTAATGAAGATAATAAATAATTGAGGGCTTAAAACACATCCCTGACGGGTACCAATATTGCAAGAAAAACATTTAGACAAACCTTTTGATGTTCTAACACAAGCTGATAAATTCTGATACACTGTTTTTACAACATTAAAAATGTTACCACATATACCAACTTCAGAGAGGGACTGAAGTAAAACATCATGCTTAATAGTGTCAAAGGCTTTGGAAAAATCAATAGAAAGACAGTAAAACTTCCCTTTCTTTTTACAAGAATATTTCTGAATTAAAGCCTGGAGGGAAAATATATGATCAGTTGTAGAATAATTAGCTCTAAAACCTGCTTGGGACTCACTACTAATTTCATTAATATCGCACCATTTCTGAAGGCGTTTATTCAAAATAGAAGTAAATATTTTACAAATATAGTCAATGAAGGATATACCTCTATAATTATTAGGGTCATCTTTACTGCCAGATTTAAATAAAGGACATATTATACTCTTACTCCAGCTTTTAGGGAAATTGCCACTGTCAAATATTTCATTAAAAATGGAAGTAAGAAAGGGTACAATATAATTACAAGAAGCTTTAAGAAATTCTCAAGCTACACCGTCAGGTCTTGATGACTTATTAGTAGAAATATTCATAATATGAAACAAAACTTCTTGTTGAGTAATTGCTGCATTAAGTAATGGCATATCACAATTGGAATGAGACTCAACAACATTTAGAACATCTGTTTCATTGACACAAAGTAAGGACAAAAAGTGATTGAACCACTGTTGACAAGAAATAGAGGCAGATATATTACTAGACATTTTATACTGTTTGAGTAATTTCCAAAACTGCTTAGGATCATTGCTGGCTTCAACAAGTTTCTGTCTCTGTGTATACATGTAATTATCTCTCTTGATACTGAATGTCTTCTTGAACAAATTACGGAGTTGTCTAAATATATCCAGATCTTGATTATTATCTCTATGAGCTCTAAGTGCAGAATATTT